GTGTGTGATGCTGCGAGTATATCGTTTCCGGGCTTCAGGATTTGGCGGGTATCTCCCCTAGCCAGAACAATCATTTTATGCATACCAGAAGAGACTGGATGTGGAAAATCTGAATACGACCTGGCGGATGAAGAAACAAAAATGAACGGACAAGGAGGAGCATGAAGGATGAGGGATGAAGGAAGCAAGGAACTCCGGCTATCTTTGGATGTCCATATCAAAAAGCGCTCGCCCTTGAGGTCTATGACGCATGGCTTAGTTAGCCAGCCTGATGCTAATGATACATAACATGATGATATTACTGTGGCTCGATAAATGGGTTGGTACGATTAAGGGGCCTTCACGAATGATGTATTGTATGCATGCACTTATGAATATTATGTCAAAAATCTTCCCTCTTCACAAGTGTCCAAAGAGGATGAAGGGATAGAGAAGGAAAGGATGAAGAGAGGAGAAGGTATGGCGGGGAAAAGAAGGAAGGAGTGAAGTGAACGTGAAGGAAAGAGCGAACAGGCAGACAGAGAAGGAACGAGTCAAGAGGCGATGGCCAAACGGTAGCTGAAAAAAAGAGAACAAAACAATCCCGGCGGAAGTGCAACTAGTACGAAAAGTGTCGTACAAATAGATTATTGGGAAGATAACCAGGTCAATTTAACGTCCACTTCCACCTCTCTGGGGGCGATGTCAAGGAACCAACAACTGAAGGGTTTTGATTAATAAAAAAACAAAAATAAAAAAATGAAAGAATATAAGGTTCATCCAGCATATCCACCAGTATTTCTTCCATCCAGAGTGAAATAGAACGATGAGGCCGCTGATACACGTAACCGTGAAGAATATGGCCTTTCTGACCGATCCCCGGTCTCCTACAGATCCTTCACGGGTAGGGTTCCTTTAGAAAGAGTCTAGGTAGACTACGTGTGACAGCCTAGTTACCAAATGAGCACAATATTCTCCCATCGATTTAACACGAAGGCACGTGTCTTGGTATAATGCAGTGTGAAAGAGACTTGAAAGCCACAAGCTTGTTCGCCAACTTGACTTGTTGGGTAATTCCGCTTTAGTAGAAATATACCGGTACAAAAAGACCGACTGACATCAAACAACACACTAGCTCAAGGCAAAACCAGAGTACAGAAGAAAGAAAGAAAGAATGAAATACTCGCTAATGATATGGACGGAATATCGGATATCAAAGTGCGAACAGCAGCCCTCCATCCCATATAAAACTCCACCGCTAGTCTAGATGCTGGGGAGTAAAAACCTTGTGTCATGCGTCCTTGTAGAAATGCCACCAAACCAACGGTCTTCCACAATGGATTTGTGGTTTTGTCGGTGGGGATTTCCGTGACACTGGGCTGAGGTGGTTGTTGTTCGTGTGCCACCGGGAGGTTAAGCATGTGCTTTGTTGTTGGTCGGTATCGGATGAAAAGAGGATTGCCGCAATCGCAATCGCAATCCCAGTCGTTCAAGAAAGCGATGAAGAAGTTGTATACATGAACATAGCGCCAACACAAAGGATAATCCATCCAAAGCAAAAGCCAACGATGTCAATAAATTTTATGCAAAAACATTTTCCTGTTTTATGTGTATGAGAGGTTGGTATCATGTCATCCCATGTCCTTCAAGTCTTTTGCCGATAACCCCGGAGATGTGTTCAGCCCAGTTTGTAGATACGTGCCGTACCCATATATGATATGTGTGTAATTTTTCTTCTCTTGTGCCATATGATGTCAAAACGATCCGGGATTTAAACTCCTTTCACCGCATACGAGGGCCGCCGTACATACACAAAGGTGTTTAAAATGATGAGGATTGGAAGAGCGCACCATTGTGTGTATTTTCTCTTGCACCGCAAGCCGCCTGCATGAATGCCAGTGTGTTTGTATGTGTTGCGATATGCCACAAGCCAAATAACAATAACTCCTACGGACCTCTTGGATCCATGTCGCCCATGCTCGTTTCTCTCCCTTGGATGCTGATGATAAACCGATCGTGACGCCGTAGGCCGATGCCAATCCCTAGACTCCACGCACGCTGGTGTGGCCACGAAAACAGCTCTTGAACCATGGTCGAAGGCCAACAGACGCTCGCCCTGAACAAAAGCCAAAAAAGAGACCGGGGAAGCACAAGGGGAACTCCGGCAAAAAGAGAATCCTCTACGACTCCAGCGCGCTGGGTGAAACGCAAAAGAAAAGAAAAAGAAAAACAACGACGACGTTAAATTAAGAGGGAATCGTTTCCATGTCGAAAAAAAACAACATTCATGTGTCCACACGCACCATGCGCCAATGCATGCCATGTCGAAGATGCCAGCCGTATGCAAGCCGTAGCCACTGTGCCTCAAACATCGCCTACCAGCTCCAATCAACACCCCATGTCCATGCCGCTTTTCTTGTCCAATCGATCGGTGCGAGGCAGAGAAGAAAAGATGTGTAAGTGCAGTAATAGTCCAAAACGTGAAATATCCTTTTCTTGAAATACGCAGAAAAAAAAGGACAACAGGTCGGAAATAACAAGAAGATCTGAGAAATGCCATCCGGGAGGCAAGGGCGCCGGCTGCGTATCATCATCTTCCCATCATGTATGCCGGGAATTGCGCCTGAGAGTTGCCATTCAGCTGCGCAGAGCCGTTGAAGCTCGAACCCCAAGGGTTCTGACCTCCAGGAAACGGGGGCGGGGTATACTGGTTGTGTCCGTTGTTCAGCATGTTGGGCGACCCTGAGTACAAGGACCTGTTCATGCCCAAGCCAGGAGGGGCAGACAATCCTGGAGGAGGTCCACTTGCGGTTGTGAAACCAGTGTTGGGCCCGTGAGGGAAACCGTTCATGCCGTTCATGGGGCCTGCGCCATTCTGGCCAGGCGCCTGACCGGTGCGAACGCCCAAGGGGTTCTTTGAGAAACTCAATCGCATGCCGCCCTTCCTGCTGTTGCTGAGCGTATGACCATAAAGCTCGTTAAGGGCCTTGGTGGCAAAAGAAACGTCCTCGAACTCGACAAAGCACATGGGTCCGTTGTGCTTAGTTCTATAACAAAGGCGCTTGTATCCCCGCACTTTGGAAAACACGGCCTTGAGCTCTTCCTCAGAGGTGTCGATGGGCAGATTGCCGACATAGAGGGTATTACAAGGAGGGTTCATGTCGGCGGGATTTGCGGGCGGGTGTTGGCGATACGGCTGAGCATGGGGCATCATTGGGACGGGGCCACCCATCATGTTGGTGGGTGACATAGTAGCAGAATGCGCTCCCATTCCCCCCATGCTAGATTGGGAGTAGTGCGACATTGATTGCGGCATAGTCGTGGGAACCGATGTGTTTAGCGACAAGTTTGCCATGCGCGTGATGGGAAGCTGAGATGAGGTAGACCGGCGTTGCTGGGGGCCGCCTTCAGCAAAGCCGCCGATTTCCTTGAGAATCTCGCCCGTTTCGTCATCGTCTGCAGAATCGTTGTTGATCAAGGTCTTGCCGGTCGCGCGACTACCGTCAGTGAGGTAGTTTCCAATGGGCGATTGAGCCGAGAAAAGGTTCTGGTAGTGCGCAGTGGCCTCGGGGCTGCCCAACTCGGTGGACCCGTACGCAGTATTAAGGGGCGGCGACATTCGGTCAAGAGATTGGAATGTGCCATTGAAGCGCGACACTTGTCTGGAAGAGGGCGCCGTCAGCGCCGTTGGCGAAGTGACCGCCGATGTCGCAGCGGAGACGGATGTGTCAATCGAGAACCTGGCACTCGAGGATGCGGAGTCGGACTGAATGATCTCAACAATCATTTCGGCGTCGTTGGTCATGTTGGTCTTGCCATTCAAGAGTTGCCTCGTCTCTTGCGCGCCCTCCAAGGTCTTGAATGTGAGAATCGCGGTTCGGAAACCAGCGTCGTCCGACACATCGGCGGGAAGAAGCTCGGCCTTGACGAGATCCTTGGAGAGGGCCATCATGAGGCGCAGCTGGTCTTCGGTGAAGTTGGCAGGCAACTTGCGGATGCGGGCGACCGCATAGGACGGGGAGGGCGTCGCGGCGAACGGGGTTCCGACAGGCTTGGCAGCGTCGCGATCGAAGGGGTTGCCAGCTGTGTAGTAGCCGACGGGAGAGGTCATGCCTTGTCTGTTGTTGAAGGCTTGGGCAGCCTGAGCGGCCGAAGGTCGCGGTAGGTAGGATGAGGCTGCCATTGTGTTGGTTGTCGCGGTGGACGACGAGAAGGGGCTCGCGCGGTTGGAGGCCAGAGAAGCGAAAGAGTTGGCGTTGACGGTGACGGAGGAGGTTGCGCTCGGGGCGTTCACGTTCTGACGATGATCCCCGTTCATGCCTCGCGGTGCGTTTGGTGCATGTACAGGTTGGAGTCGCTAGAAATAGAACGGGTCTTGACTGGGGCGACGATCGGACGTGATTGATCGAATGGGCGACGAGCCGTCGGCAGGTTGGCAGTGGAGGAATTGGGTTCGCAGAGTGGATGCGACGGCGACTTTGTGGAGAGTAGGATGCCTGGTTACGTCGAGCGTGTCAGGTACCGTGCTGGATCTAGTCCGTACGTATGCGTACACCACCAGACCACCCTCTAGAATACGTGTGTGTGCGTGTTGACTCGCTCGCTTGAGAGATTGAAGGAAGTGCTAGGTGCTAGCTAAGGTATTCGCGTGCGCCGTTCGGCAGCAGGGGGTCCGGGATACGGGACAGGTGGGCAGTAAGGATGAGGACAGGACAAAGAAAGCGTGGCAAGAAACAGGCGATGGGGCTGGGCCTGGGGGGTGGAATCAACCTTACCTGTAGGTTATTTACCAAGACGCGACAGGATACCCGGTCAAGGCAAGAGCTTTGTGCGAGGGTTCGTGGGTTGTTGATGTGATGACGATGAGGGGTGCACAGCCAGAATCTACCGGCTGCTTTTGCTCGCTCTTGTAGTGGGCGGTAGTAACTGGTGGTTGTGGTTGTGGTTGTTTAGTGGCAGCTCGTTTCTCGCTGTGTGCTGGATGGGGGAAACAAATGCAATGCTGCCTCTTGAGTGTAGTGTCTGCTTGCAAAAAGGTACGAAGTAACGAGGTAACGTGCAAAAAAGCGACAGAAATACAGCAGCCGAGTTTGCTAGATGATTAGGTGGTGAATGAGTGGGTGTAAGTGTCCAGGTGGTGGAAGGGAGGGAGGGAAAAAAAAAGTTGGCCTGGGGTTGTGGAGGAGGAAGAAAGTTGAATGTCTGGGTAGTGGTGTGGGATGGGGGAGAGCTTTGTGCAGGAATGGAGTGACCTGTCGCAAATGGGCAAAAGGGGAGCGAACCGTCAGTCGGTTTCTGTGTGCGAGTGTGGGCGTTCGACGAAACAGTTCCCGGGGTGTTGGTGGTGTCTGGGTGAGCGTGCCAGGATGGCTATGGTAGGATGAGAACAGAAGGGAAAAAGTGGAAGTGCAGGTGGAAGGGAAGGGGACGACGGGACTCCGGGAGTGGGCAGGCGCGATCTGGACCTGGACCCAAGGATTTTTCCTAGGAGGTGAGCTTTTGAATTTGTGGTTCGCTTTTGGCTTTTGGTGCTACGGACTCTGCACGGGATTCTGATTGGCTGCGCTGGGCGACTGAACGCATCCTGCATTTGAGATTTTGGTCCCTCGGGGCCCCCCACTTGTGACTCGATCGTTCAATGGGAAGCTTCCCAGATTGTGTGTGCTTTTAGCTTTTCGGCCCCCCGCCCCCGGCTTATACCATCGAGAGAAGGAGGAGCTACACTGAAGTAGAAAATCCGCAAAAAAGACACGGATTGCCTGTTCAATAGGAACGCGCGAGGCTACTAACGACATCCGATCTTTTTGGTGGCAGGCGCGGCGCCCGTGAGCAGCCAAGCAGTCAAGCAGCCTCGACCAAAGACACACAGTTGACGTTGGCTACCACCGGTGCTCCTTACTTGGTAAGTACCTGAGCTAGGCCGGATTCAGCACAGCACGTACGCACCTCCAACTCGTACCTGTCGATTGCAGAGAGACAGTGTCGCTCAAGTCTGGGCAAGAGTCAACCAGCAGCACTTTTATATGCACAACCCCATCCACCCACAAAATATCAAAGGTCTATCGACTGCTACGCGAATTCCACGTGACGGAGTCAGGACCTGATAGAAGACGCGCGACCACTTGGAGTAAAATTACATGCTACCTCTACGTACTCATGTTCAAGGTACGCAGGACTCGGCGAGACGTGATATTCTAGATAAGGCAGGCATTCCCGTCACGTCATTGGCTGTTCCTGAACACTAGCGAGTTAGTGCCCGCGTGGTGGAGACATGGGCCATGAGCCAAGGGCAGGGCAAGGGGGGGAAGCCTGAGGCCCTGACAGAGGAGGGATGGGTGATGGGCGGGTTTCTCGGTCTTCGACGACTGGCCATCAGTGGCCGCAACAGGGTAACCTGCAACGCACAGAGTGTGGTTCCCAACGATGGCGCGCATGCACGAATGCAGGACGCTGCAGCTCGACGACTGGAAGCTCAAAGCCTCGAAAGGATGGATGTGCACCTTTACAATTTGGCGCGAACACAGGAAGAGGCAGAAGCCAGCAAGACTGCGCCTATTCTCTGGTCAGTGCAGTGATAAAGTGGCAGCCGGGGGATTCAGACGGGCGTGGTGAGCGGACATGGGCAGATCCGGAAGAACAAGCAAATGCTGATGTCGAGAATGGCCTTCGAGAAGGGAATGGGACGATCCCTCGACAACCCCCCATCTCAATGGGATTCTGGATGTGGGGCAGACGAATGGGCATTCAACTTCCCCCATATCCAATTTCACAGGCTCTTTGACTCCTCACATAGACTCAGGAACCAAGGCCTTTTCAACACTCGCCCAGACGACACTTTCAAAAATTCTGGAAATGAACAGAGAGGAGGCCTCTACATACTTGGACAAGCGAATAATATTGGAACGCTGATGGTGGAACAGTGTCATTGCACTCTCCTGGACGCAATGCAGTGCCTGGCGAAAACGAGAAGCGACGAAACTCCAGCGTGACATCGGGGCGTCGCGGTACAACTAGGCAGGGGGTCACGGGTGGTGCGTGATACCGTGATGAGGAACATGCCCTGAAGAGGTCGAGAATGATGATGACCGAAGATGTTGGCGGCAGCGGCCAGCGCCATGCAGCAGGAAACCTTGTCGACACTCGCCCAGTTCCAGTGCCCGGGACAGTCAACCCAGAAGGTACGGATACCGTAGGGCAGTGCCAAAAGGGACCGTGTTTGAAGTCGACAAGGGCCCCCTTTTGGGTCGCGTTTGCTTCAAGAAGAAAACATCATGAGGTGCGGGCCGAGGGGGTTGACGGGGGCCGACGGGGGACGGGGGACGGGGGATGAGAGGACGGGTCAAGGGTGGGAAACATTGGCTGGAAAACATGGCATGTTCGATTTTCCCCAAGAGGGGCCATATCCGTTGGAGAGAAGTGGAAGGGTTGAGAAAGGGAAGGGGATCCTGGGCGAGCATCACGAGTTTGTTGTCAGAGATTCATCGCCAAGTGAGAGCCAGAGTTACTTACTATGCTAGCTGTAAGAACGCACGGGGCACCCAGGGCTGTGGTGGGTTCCACTTCAGTGTGCTCACTTTCGGTGGAGACCTACGGGGCCCCGGGTTATCTTAGAATTAGATATCTTTTTTGGGCAAGGGACGACTTGCGGCCGCCAAGACTGGACCTGCGTCCCGTACGCTTTGCGTACAATTAATTAAATTGTAAAAGTTTGTAATATTATTTGTTGTAGTTTATATATTTGTTTCTTTTAATATATTTATCAACTTTAATTGAGAATGCTTAAAAAAGATATCTAAATTCTCCACTAGACTAAATTTAATTATGATTAATATAGCTTACTAAAACTAATTTACTTATATAAAATTAGACTACAATTTAGTTATAACAAGACAATATAATAATGCAAAAGATATTACGAAGATCACTTTGTCAAAATAAATTTAATAGTATATTTACTTTTTTTATACAATATTTAAATATTATAATCTAAATTCAAATGTAAAAAATGTAGTAACTGGAACGTGCACGTAAGCTCAAGGTGGTCTGAGCGCTGAAATAACCCCCGGGTCGGGTGTTCGTCTCAAAGTAACCCGCATGGCCCTACCGTAGAGGTACATAGACTGGACATCACCCCGACGGTCTTGACCAGCAAGACTAGGTACCTCCTGCCTTATCCCTTTACCACAGCGAAGCAAAAGGAACTCAAGTCTCAGCATCCATTCTCCATGTTACGGGTGAGCGAGACTTCCATTCTGGATACAGTCGTCAAGACATGCCGGATTCGTGGTCGCCACGCTGGATCTGCCGTCTTTATTCATGTTCCCGAGCCTCACTCAATCAATTTACTCACTCCAAGCCCAAATCGACGATGAGCATTTCTGAATAGAGGCATTATTACGCAAACGGCTGGATGGAACTGGAAAGCAGGCATGGGAGCTGTCGAAACTTGATATCCAGTGCCGCCAGGCTGGCCGAGATGCAATCCCATTCGACGAGTGACGGCTTATCAAAAACGCCACATCCCGTCTGGCACGGCGCAGCGCGGAAGGATGCGGAGCAACATCTTCATGTCGGCCGTCCCATCATCCCTCAAAGGGCCCCCCTCATCAAAGAACCCCTCAAAGGCGGCCTTGTAGCTGTATAGGGTATAGCTCCTTCACACAGTACTGTACACTCCGGCCTAGGTTGCCTTGCGGCAGGCACGGGAGGAGGGTAGGAGTAGGACTATGTATACATCACTATACACTGCAGTATCTCACGAGGTTGTATCCGGTTTCCAGGCTCAAGTGCTACTATGCACGTCCATAATCATTACAGGGCTTCGCGCTGCCGCCCAGAACCGCGGGTGGGAGAAGACCAAGTTGGTGTGTTCGATGAAGGTCGGATATGAGGACCGGTGAAGGCACCGTCATTTTCATGTCTGGGCGAGCAAAGCCTCCATGGCACAGATCTGGGCTTACTCTACACTACAGCCTTTTCTCTGCCGATTTGGCTATACAAGACTAACTAACAAGTTGGCGCTATAGTCTTGCTATAAGGCATAGCCGTTTCCCGTCTACCTTGACACACAAAGCACTCCCCTCCGTATGGCCATATGTACGCACACATTCCCATCTTCTCGGCTCTTGTGCATCGTTACAGGGCCATGCTCCATCTTGGCGCTTTTGCATCATGTGCGATTGGGTCTTTTGGCGCGTGCCTTGCCTGGACTGTCACGAAAAGGTCACTCCCCAATTTCACGCTCTTCAGTTCCCATTCAGCTACCGAAGAGGTTGTTCCGGGCTTTTACTGAGATGTCAGATGGGAAGGATCCTTGAACTAAAACAAGGCGACATCGCGGGGCATGCTATTCATCCTGACAGGCATAGCTTGGCAGCCCTCCCCTTCCCACCCCGGAGAATACCTACAAGGCAACTAATCAATGTGCGGGTTCCGAATAAATAGGATGGGGGAACGCAGGGTTGCTTCCCGATACAAATGCCTGAAACCGGTGGGAGATAATGCATCCAATTTCCCCTTTCGAGACAGCGATTCCACCACCCTTCTACCTTGGTTCAAGCCTCCAACTCTAGGTGCACTGACACTCGTCACAGGCTTGAAGAACTGTACCACAATCTATATCCCACCAAACTACATACTTGCCATCCCCCCCAACCCAAGAACTCCACGGGGGGGTAGCCGTGTAACCCTCACTCCTCATTAGCCATGCTGACCAATTCTCCCCGGAATCGAAGCCTGTTGGTCAAAGTCACCACCATAACCACGCCTTGTGGCACGCATAAATTCCATTCTCAGCGGGCCCGCCGGTGTCCTTTTATCAGCGTTGAAGCGACGGAAGCGCTATGGTATTCGGCCTTTCCTCAGCATTTTTCCAGGTCTGATATACTCTCAATAAATTGGCCATGAGTGGGACTACCCGAATCAGGAAGACGATACTCACCCTACGTTGAGACATATATGCTTGGCGATCAGCCTGGAATATTCAACACATTCCGTCATCACACTCCGGAAATCCTACCGCACGGGGTACGTCGATCAACTGACTAGTAGGTGATAGTCCATCGGTGGTCCCTGAGAGAAGCCATCCATGCGTTGCCGATAAAATATATAGGCATGGCGAGCGAAGATGACGCCGCCCACCACGCAGTGTGCCAGGCCAGGTACCCCAGCATCCCGCTCCCGGACTGAAACAGGCCAAGACTTGTTCTGATTGAATACCGAACGAGCGACAGAAGAAGACCATTTTCTCCCTTTTCTAATTCCTTGGAAAGAATAATAAAAAAAGAAGACGAATCATCATGATCCAACTTTTTTTCTGTTACCTTCCGTACTTTGATCGGCCATGCCATCGAAATGATGGGGAGAGAGGGATTGGTCAAGTTACTATCCGTCGTCTCTCGGGTCGGCATGCCATTTACCGAGAAAACTGTCTCTTTCCATCTTCTTTTTTCTGTTTGTATACTGTGTACCATTCATAGTCCAATTCCCCCATATTCGCATTTGCCCTTCCTTTGCCGCTGCGTTCCGACTGGCAAAGAAAAGTGTGATATGTTAAGCCATGCTCGCCCTGCCATGCCATTCCATCCCATGGGATGGGCTGAAACTATGTCATCGAAATGTGATTGCACACTATGTCAGCTGCAGCCTGGGAAGCTCCGAGGTTCATCCATGGGAACACCTTCTTTAGTACCTACCATTCTTCAACATCCCTGTTGTTCTTCCAGTATAACTCGGAGGAAGGGTAGCACATAGTACGCTCTTTTGTACGTCTGAGCTGACATCTAATGGTAAGCCTAGGCCGAAGAAGAAGAAAAGGGTCCAGTGCCGCATGACAACCACGTCCAACAACCAACACCCCACACTGGGGAAGAAGAAGAAAGGGCTGGCTGATGAGCCGGCTAGAAGGAAGGATGGCAAGTCCCGACCCCGACCGCAAGAACCCAGTCACATCTTGCCTGTGTATCAAGACCCTGCGCTTGTATAGAGTCTAGAGAACAGGAGGATCCGCTGTAAGCCGTACACTCACACACACACACACACACACACACACACACACATCCTCAGGGTTCAAGTGAAGCTGTAAGAAGCTTACAATCAGTGAGGTGTGATCTATCTCACCTCAAGTGGAAGTGAGTGAGACGGGCGAGCGGGCGGGGGCAGGCGGGTGGGCGCGGTATCGACTTTTCTTCCATCCATCTCCCTATGGCCTTGCACCCGGACAGACATACTTACATACTTTGCTATATCAGACGGGAAGTAGGCGGACAGGCATTCATCTACCTATTGGCAACTATTTTCTCTAATTCAACCTTCCTAAATTCCCCACTACACACGCTCTTTTTTCTTTATCTCACGCTCACTGGCTCTTCACGAAATCAACCCTTTACCAACCCTCTACACACCACCTACTAGGTATTATTATACTACTGACTAGACTAGAGGCACACAACCACTCACCACCTCGTCACCCACCCACTGACGATTCTTCAGCACAATGTCTCAGTTGTAGGTGGTGAGCCATCCATCCATTCATTCCCTTCCCATACCCATACCATATCCTCGGCTTTTTGCGACCTGCATAGCCGTTCACAATATGTGACGAGTGACTTGCGGGTGACGGGGTGACGGGTTGCTACTAGACTAGTAGATTACCTAGGTAGTGTGGTATCTCTCCCCTAGAAAAAATGTGTCGGCAATACCACACTTGTTTTGGCAGTATTCTTCAAGAGCTGTAGGCTTTAGTTGACGGCAGAGTTTTTAATATGCATGGGTTGGTGGGGTTGATGATAGTTTTGACTTTTGGCTTTGATACTTCCGACCTGGGAAGGAGCATTCCGTTAAAGACGCCGCTTTCAAGTTCGAGATGTCGGGTGTTTTGTACCTAGAAAGGAGCGGACGGGAAGACAGAGACGACCGAGATGCTCAACTGCTCGCTCTTTCCTATTACCACTTACTGTTTGTATGTGGTATCGTTTTTGTTCTGATATAACCCAAAACAATGACCGGGCAATTTTGCTTTATCTACCTACTCAGGTACCTTCAACCCAAAGTCCAGTACAATGACCTTTTAAGACTTTCTTACCAAATTATAATGAAACCCTCAACTACCTGCCCTTCTAGCCCTACCTTCCGTCCCGACCCATCTACATCGTCTTCGTTACCTGCTGCTTCGAAGCCCCCTCTCCCAAACTGCAGTCAGTTCCATCCTAAGCCGATTCAACCCTCCGACTCTTCCCATCTCTTCCCAACACCACCAAGACAACCTACCTAGGCTAGAGACGGATACAGGTTCCCAGCCAGTCTTCTCTTTGAGGACAAGAGAGAAAAAAGCCACCAAAAGCGGGGTTGTCGGAACTCCTTGCGACCCGACTGACCAACCGACCGACCGAAAGACCGGCCGATTGATGTTGCTCCGCCTGCCTAATCAATCTAGCAATCAATCTCTTTTGTGCTAAACGAACTTGCAGACCGAGCGAGGTCCACAAGTATGTAGGCACGCACGATGAGTACAAGAGAAGGAGCGATGGAGGGCTGTAAATTGGAAAGAGCGAGCAGGCAGTCAGTCAGTCAGTCAGTCAGTCAAAAGTGCTTGGTCGTTCCTGTCCTCTCGTCCCGCTCAGTTGATGAAGAGTTGGGCAGGGCGTTGGGGGGGGGGGCCTTTTAGGTACTCACCTATCTCCCGTCGAAGAATCGAAGAAGGGGATGGGTTCATACCTTGATGAAGAGGAGAAGATAAGTGACCTAAGATACCTAAGTACCAGGTCTACAAGATACGTATCCAGGAGGTAGGTGGTGTTGCCTTCTGGTCACCTTGACCAGGTTTTTTTTTTTCCATCTTTTTGTTAAAAAAAATAAAGAAATCCTTGAGCGTTGGATGTGTGAGTTACCTACATCTGTCCCGTACCTTCAGATCAGGTACCTACCTAGAGTAAGGTTATCTGCGGTCTCCTGTGCGATTACCCTTATGCGTCCGTCCCATTGGCGCGTAAAAAGCTTCACCGGCTTCATGCAAACTGCTTCAAACATTCAAACACACAACCAACAGCAGGCACCGGTAGGTAGGTAGGTAGGTAGGTAGGTAGGTGTGTCAGTGTATGCAGCGTTGGAACCAGGTTGGGATTACCTGCGTGAACGGAGAATCACATGTCATAAACGGTTTGTTTGAGCTGTTCGATTCCTGTCTGTAAGGTTGGTTGCTCTTGTTATAAACTTGCTTGGACAACAGAGAGGGAGAGGGGTGAGTATCAATGGTCTGGTAGTACTCGAGGAGACTGGGGCGTGAAGGTGACTAGGTTTTCCCCCATGGTTGTAAATGCTTTATTTTGAAAGCGATATCAAAAGCGGGAAGGTATGTGTGTAAGCAAGTGCCTGATGATTTTCCTGAGACTGACTTACGTTGTCTCAAGTAGCTAGTCATAGGATGAGTGTTTGAGTATTTCTTCATAACATTTGTCCATGGTTTTTTAGCCTATAGTCCGAAAATGAGCACTCATGACCGATCATGAGGAATGCGAAAAAACATATCTTCAGCAACTCATCAGTCAACACCGACTGGAAGCCAAAAGGCCTCCCTCCTCAGGCCCAATTCTCAACACCTTCACCACCACCAGCCCAATCCATCGTCATCGCAGCCCAGAGATCATTGTACCCCATCCCCATACTCATAACCATATTCATATTGATACCACCCATCCCCGACCCCATCATCATTGGCATTCCCCCCGGGCCCGACGGCACACTATTCCCATCCCCTGATACATGTCCGTGTTGTCCACCTCCACCCCCATTACCTGAGCCGCCAAACTCCATACCATCATTCCTCGTAGTATTCGCAGTAGTAGCAGCACTACTACTGCCACTACCCAGACTACCCAGACTATTCGGACTTCCCCCAGTATTTAAAGCAAACGTCTCATCCCAGTAGGGGTAATAGGGTTCCAGGCTGCCGTCCATCATGGGACATCCGGACACGTTTGTTGAGGGGATGTGAAGGGTTGGTATGGGTATGGGTGTTGCTTGCGATTGTGATTGTGGGATGTCTATATCGAGAGGAAGCATGGAGAGGTCCATGTGGATGTCTAGGACTTCCTGTTGAGCTTGGGGGTGCTGGTGGTGGTGGTGGATATTCTTGTTGACGAAGTCTAAGTCTGTTGGTGGTATTGGGATATTGAGGTGCTGGTGCTGGTGCTGGTGCTGGTGCTGGTGGTGCCGACGGAGTGGTTGTTGAGATTGAAAGTGCTGTTCCTCCCCATGTGCCAAGATGGACTGAGCATAACCATGAGCATTACTCTCGTCCTCCCCAACCGCCTTGCCAGTAACAGGACAGATACCAACACCAACACCAACACCACCCATCCTCGCATCCTTATCCCTCTCTTTACCCAAACTCGCTGTGCCCTCCAACTTGGCAACTCGATTCCTAAACTTCCTCCTCACCACCGCAAACACAACCTTGCTAGCACTCAACACATCCATTCCTTTAGTCGTCGACATCGTCGCCGGCGTCACATTTTCCCGATCTTTATCAACACTACCACCCTCAGAAGAAGCAGACGAGGCAGTGCCCGTACCCAACCGACACAACCTCTCCAGGAATTTGTCAAACCGCACCACCCTCCTGGCCCCATAATCATCCCACCCGGGACAAAACGTGATGGGGAAGCTCATGCGAAACCCGAGGATGGTAGACAAAATCAAACAGCCCCAGCCGATCATGGAGAAGGCGTTGATTTCGTGTGCTGAGAGAGATAAGAAGTATTCGTAGTTTTGGTGCAAGGTGGGGATTAGGCTTAGCAAACGGTTGGGGTCTACGCGGAAGGAAGGCGGAGGACCTTTTTCTAAACCGGGGAGCTTGACGGAGGGAAGTTTGAGGAGGGGGGCGCCAGTCAAAAAGAGGCGGGTGAAGAGGGTTGTTATGCGGATTGAGGCTTTTTGGGCAAAGAGGGCGGATGTTAGTTATGTTTGGAGGGAAACAGGGAGAGGGAAATGTGAAAGGGGTAGGGAAATATGAACGTACGTATTGATTTCAGTTCGGACGGCATCTTGGCCTCCCACTCGTTTAGTTGGGCTTCCATGCCTTTGATGATCATCTCGATCTGGCTCTCGGTTTGTTGTGGTAGACCACTAATTCCACCCCTTTGCGGCTTGCGGAGATCATTGGTCTCTTCGCAGAGCCGTTGGAGGCGGACTAACCAGGGGAGGATGCAGTCTCCTTTGGTTATGCTGTACTTTTCGAGGATGTCGCAGCATTTGGAGGTGTAATTGGTGAAGGACATGGAGGGTGTGCGGTTCCACGATGTTGCGAAGCTATCATATATGTGTTAGTCCAACTACGTGACAAGACATCTCTGTTGAATGATGACCTACTTTGACGCAACATAATACGTAGCCAGATAAGTCCTGATCTCCTCCAGCCTTTGCGGACTAGGGCGTCTCGGACCGTTGAGTTCATCAAAACCAGGATCCACGTCCAGCTCGAGATCGTTGACCATATCCACCGCCATACGCACATACTGGAACGCTTGTCTGTTTTTCGGACGAAGGTGGAAGGGATACCTGGGCACACGAACACACAATCGTTAGCAGTCATCCTCAATCTCCAAAACCCAGTCTATAGGCACGTAGACACAAAAACTCACCAAGCAACGTAAGCCGCCAACCCCTGCAACAACTCCAAACTCCTCTCACCCCCAGCCACGAACTTCAGCCCCAAAATCTTCCTAAATTCCTCATCGTATAGACTATGGCCCTGCAAAGTCCTCGTGCTGCTCGCCGCCGCCAAAACAGCCAGCAGCACAAAGGGCCTCTCCCTCGCTAGGGACGCCACTGTTGCTTCTTCCAGCTTCACTTCATTCTCATCGTCGTTGCAGACCGAAACATGATCAACCAACACACAGGGAAAATGCCACACCATAACCTTTTGAAAAGTATTCAACAGTTGCGAGGCAGAGTCGACGTTGAATTGCGGTTGCACGGAGAGGGAGGCGAGGGAGCGGCTGCTTCCTCCTGGTCCGGGTCCCGGCTTTCCGTTTCGGTCTCCGTTTCGGTTTCCAATCCTTGGCCCCGTACCACCACCCCCAAAACCAGCCCCAAACTGCGCAACCCCAGAAGCGGAAGCAGAAGCAGAACTACTCCCCGGCGTAGCAGCCGATGCTCCAACCGGCAGGGAGCTAGCATGGCTGGAAATTACCGATCCGTCTCCTTCGCAGTTCCCATCATCGTCGTACTCGTGATCATAGCCGTAGGTACCGTCTTCGTCCTCGGAATCGACCCCGGTGTTGGGGCAGATATGATCCATGAATCCTTCGTGGTCGAGACGGAGAGATTCAAGACTGATGGCTACGTCGACGGAGGAGGTGGGGATGGGGACGTCGATGGTGAAGGTGCGGGATGGACCGGGGGGTAGACCGGGTAAGGGAGATTGCTTTTGGAGGGAGGAGGGGTTTGTGACGGTCCTGTTTGTGGTTATGCCAGTTGTTGTGGTTGTTGATGTTCTGGGGTTGGTGGTTGTGGTTGTTGATGTGGAGTTTTTGTCGGCTCTGAGGAGGTGTAAGTGAGTTTATGGGGACATGTTGAACGAGTTTGAGAAACTATTTTTGAGGAGCTGCGCACTTGCATTTGAAGGGTAAGAGAAAGGAAAGAAAAGGCAAAGAAGAGAAAAAAAAAGGTAACCTACACCCTCGACCCTCTAGGCCGTCTTGTTGTGGGTCCGGTCTTGAAGATACACTCTCGTTTCGAAGCCAAGCACCTGAACCAACACATGATTGAATCCACCAGTTAGCGGCTGTTGGAACATAGAAAAGAATCACTTGAACACCAATCTTTTGAAATTGGAAGAACGGGCAGCAATGCACGCCATCACGAACTTGATAAAGCATGCCAACCTTTTACATATCCCCGCTTGGCTGCTCCCCTGACACTTGACCTTGGCAAACCTGCAAGCTTCACAAGCGTTAGCGACACGAGGCCGAAGCGGCGCCTTGTCTTTTTGTTGCTGTTGTTGGTCCATGTTATCCTTCCGTTGGGGTGGATGGGAAAATTGATAGATAGTTTTTGTTTGAAACAAGCAACAATCGAGCCAAGTTCCTCGATCGGTCGGCTTCAGTCTAATCAGTTGGTCAGGTCGGGTGGTGCCAACTGAGTTATCTTGTTAGGTGGAAAGGGCGTGCTAACTTCCGACGTCTCTCGGCGTTTAAGTGAGCCTTTTGCGTGTGCTAATTGTCTTTTTGTGCTATGGTTACCGATGGTATGGGACCAATTGAGAGTTTTACGAATACGCCTTCTAGTTCGTGTGTGTGCTCCGAGTGCTGTCGCAATGTGCCGAGCGAGTCACTGAGGAAATACGCAGGCAGGTCCGGTGAATGTGGACTGGAGGACGGGATTATGGAGGAGGATGGAGAAAAAGGAGGAGACAAGGAGAACCCGGCTTTCTTGGCTCCGAAGGGACGCGGAGGTTAAATGTGATGGGGATTCAGGGTTGATGGAGACGGTGAGAACAATCGACCATTGAGATTTTAGTGATCATCGTGAGCGACGAGCTGTTCTACACAGTACACTAGACCCCTCTGTCAGTCTCTCGGGTCATCAGACCCCCCCTTTCAAACCCCCCTGAGAGACTCCTTTTTCAGCCTCTCCACGTCAACAACTTAGCTCCCGCCTTGGCATATGGTACCGCCCTGATCATCAGTGGAGTCAACACAGCCCTACAGGGCGACGATGGTGTCATCATTTTCAAATGTTGATCAACATCAGCGAATTGGTCTCAGAGGGTATTTTACTAAATATTAACGAATAAAAGGCATGTCGCCATCGGCTTATACGGCGGTGAGCTCAACTATATAAGAGCCGTCCAGTCGCCTAGCCCGATCGTACACAACACCCAGCTACACCACCTACATAACACTACACCTCGCCCGCGCCGGATGTGCCATTATAAGTAGCTTAAGTCCGGAAACTCATTCTTTTCGCTTCTCCCGTCGCCTTCTCCGTCAAGCCATTGGGTATCCTTTCCGACACGTCTGATTATCATAAAGCATCCTCGCAAGAACTAGGCTCGCGTGAGTAAGAGGGGAAAAAAGAAAACAGGGAAAAAAAACAAGGCCCGGTACGGCCAATGAAGTCATCACGATGATCATCCCATCGCAGCCGCTTCATCAAATTCATCACCAACACAGAACAACCAACCACTTCAACAAACCGCCTCCTCAGCACACCTCACCAACTCGCAAAGCGTCCTCAACAAGAACGGATCCAACGCCGCCGTCTCCTTCGGTGAAAGCGCCTCTCCTTCCACCATACCCTCTCCAGTAGTCAGCTTCAGCGTCGTAACCAAACGCGCAATGCACTTCGCTAAACCAGCGTGAATGTCCCTTAGCATAGCCAAGTCGCAACCACCAGCGCCGTTGCTACCGCCGCCGCCGCCGCTGCTGGTCGACATCTTTGGCGCACCACCTGCTTTTTCGCTGTCTCTGGTGAATGGACGGGTGAAGCCGCCGTCTCTGGGAGAGTAAAGACCACTAGAGGAAAAGTTCGCGGCTGCTTCGTCGTTCATGCCCAGGATGCTCTCGGCCTTTCTGGGGATGCGGCGCACGTTGTTATCGTCTGAGTGGCGGGTCGGGCTACTAGGATTCCGCTGAGGAGCATTGTTGGTCTCTTTGGGAATGTGCGACGATGTGCCGGGTTGGGGCGGGCAAAGGGTGCCGATGTAGTTGTAGGCGATTAGGTGCGCGTAGAGGGCGTCGCACAGGCGGTCGGTGCCGGTGGGGAAGATGTTCTTGATGGGTGCCCACTCTGGCACTCCCGAGGTTTTGCTCGCTCTCGGCTCGGGGAAGGTATTTGCGGTCAGGTCGTGGGCGTAGCTTGCAAATCTCTTATTGGCGCGCCGGCTTTGCATCAGGTTGGGGAGGTTCCAACGCTTGCGCGACTTGGTGCTTAGGTTCGAAAAGGTGAAGATCGACTCGTTGTCTTCGTCGTCGATACTGTTGGTGGGCCTTCTGACCCGGTGTTTGAGCTTCCTGGAATAGGTCCGTATGGTCTCGATGGACAGGCTGGAGGTGAGCAGCGTGGTTTCCGGAAAACAAGAGGTCGAGATGCGCAGAGTGTTCAGCACGTCTGCAGGCAAGGGAACACCCGCCACAGGACTGTTTGGAACGAAGCTAGACGCACGAACACGACCAACTGCTGGCTCCGTATGCGATCGCAGCCACCCTTGAAGGTGTCCAGTCGACGTCTTCACACTCAGCTTCGAGCGTAAATCTGAGACGCTGTCTCCCGCCGAGTGTTGATCTCTCACACTTTCCTGCCTGGCTACACCAACCTCCGTAGGCACCGTCTGTGAGTGTGGAACTTTCTTCTTCATATATAGCTCAAGCGACGGCCTTTTCGAGGCATCGATGATCGTTCTGCCCCCGGGCGTCGAAAGCACTGGCAACGTCGGGGATGGGAGTAGTGTTATGCCCCTAGTCTGAACATTGCCGAGCTGAGAACCGTCCGCGTCGCTGGCCGCCCCTTCCTGTTGGCAGAATGCAGGTAGCGCTGCCGGTTTCTGAAGATGGAGTTTCCTCAGTGACGACTTCCTTTTGGGTACAACTGGCGGATGTATGTCAATGATGCGGGGCTTCCCTATACAAGACTGCCCCGAAGATGTGCGCGGCCGATCACCATTGTCGGTCAAGTGAATCGGCAGTGCCATCGGCATCGCATTCGGGAACAGCGTCCTCGGAGAAGTTGGAGAGGACGGTACAGTCTTGGCGAGAATTTTGTCGTTGAATCCCAGGGCTGTTTGCGGCCGAGGGGGAACATAACGGTCGTTGACCATGTCGGGCTCTTCTGATCCGGGCATCAGGTCTGGCTCATCATCAAACCACGTTCCTTGACGGTTTGTAGTCGGTTTCGACGAGGTGGAAGAGGGTGAGTGGGGCTTGCTAGAGAATGGCGAAGAGCTGCGACCGGAAATCGAGGTGGTAGTTGTGACCACTGATTGCTGGCGGGTTCTGATCGAAGGTGGCATTCTCTCCACAGATGAATCACTGAAGGTATCAGAAGAGTCGTCCCCGGCCCCAAATTGCTCATGGTACCCCGGCATGTCTGCCACCAATCTGCGCTCCGTGCCCTCGTAGAGGGAGTGCCGGGCACTCTGGTGGGTCACAGATTGGTAATGGGATGAAGTACGGGAGGAGGTTCGTCGGTGGTGGTGGTGGTTTGGTGCCCGCCCTTGGTTTGACATTTGATCTGATGTCCGATATGAATAGTCCTCGTCCACGTGGGTCGCTGCTGCAAGGCCTTGGCATGGGTAACCGGCGGTCATGGACTGGTTGTTGAAGAACACCTCGGATTCCTCCAAGCTCTGGACGAGGAGCTCGGGGAAGTTGAAGCCTTTGAACTGCGTTTTAATTTCCTCCATTTTGATTGCTGGGCCGGGGAAAGAAGTCGAAATAGGTTTGGTGGCGGACTTCCCTGACGACACCGGACGAAAAGAACCTTGAAAGGGACCGGACGTCAACCGGGGCTGGTCAACGTGTGAAGGGAAGAGGCAGAAGCTAAGCTACCACTTCAAGCCGCCAACTTGACGATGCAGGATGCAGGTCGCAGGAAGGACGCAGGACGAGCAGCTTGTGGTCAAGTCAGATCGTCGTTTGGGGGTAAGTGAGGTGGTCATGGATCCCTGCGCTGATCGCCTGTTGATATGAAGCCGGGGCATATCCCTGCCACGGCGAAGGGAGCTTGCCTCGTACAAGAGCGCGTACGGTGTTGGACGGTATGGACACTCCGTGGAAGTGAATGGGAGACGGTGATTAGTGTGACGGTGAAACCGGGTTCTAGCAGAAATGCCGATACACCAAGTCTGCCGTGTAATGTTTTGGAACAGTTCTTCCAATGCCGCCTCGTAACAGCGAAACAAGCTAGACAGTAGCCTACCAGACACAGTTAGAAGGTGTCGCGACTGAGTGGTTGAGAAGGGTCAGAGTGAACAGTCGCGGACCAAGCGGACATCACGTTATAAGATGGCCACTTTTTCCTTTGGGGAAGACCGCGACTGACAAATGTCATGCGGAAAGAATGATTTCTTGTACGTGGACTTACACCATATAACGTTATGTTCTATGTGGTGATACCCGGCGCTGTCAAAACAGTTGAGCCGACAGGGGGCGTAGCAGACCAAGTGAGACACTGGACGGAATGGCGCCCTTGGTTTCCAACACGCGAGGGATCGAGAAGGTCTCTAGAGCCGAGACAGTGATAAAGATGACGGAGACACTGAGTGCTCCGTGAGAGCGTGGACACGAGATTGCTGTTATAAGGAACGTTTGATGGAGGAGCTGTTGCCGCCTTACGGCCATTTCAAACAAAAACAAGAAACGTTCCCTTTGCGTCGTGGCTTGTCTTGTCCGCAGCGACATATCGAGGCCACAGCAAGCTGGGCAGGGAAAAGGAAGGAAATAGTGGCCAACATTTTGGAGGCGTAGCTAGGCGTACATACTATGAAAGTCAAGATGCAGGGGGGCGAAATAGTAACACGAACTGGCATCCAGCGCACCTCGACGAACTCTTGCGCGAGTTGCCTTCCCATTTGGCCGTCGGCGCCAGACATGAAGAGTTATCAATCACGGACGGATAGACACAGATGCCGCGTCTTGGGTACCCGTCGGCTCAACCAAAGCTAGCCATATCGTCCCAGCCTAGGTGTCGCCGAGGGAGATTTCAGGATGAAGCCGCCATTTCCCGATCGAATATTTCGTGTTCACCGTAACATGGTGACATGTTGTTGGTTTTTGACTGTCCGGATGTCATGACTCCTCCAGAATTGACGGTGAGTGGGTGAAGTGAGCCATGTGCGTCAGTCAGTCAACAGAAATCCGATATCTTCCTCCCCTTATCTCATCGGTTTGCGGGCATCGAACCAATGGAGGAAAGATCGCCAAGAAAAAGGAATGTTGAGAGAGGAGGGAAGGGGTCTGGAGTGATGACAGACGCAGCAAAAAAAAGTAAGAGGATTGAGGGGAAATGGAAAAAATGGTGGTGTCGTCAACTGGTTGATTGCCCGTTGTTGGTTGGCCTTTCGCTTGCTCACCAATCGCAATCGCACCTCAGCCCGAGGACGGACAACAGCGAGACCTGCGCATGGAGGGTAACAACCCGAACAGACAGCGGATGATGGATGAGGGACGAAGGACGATGGCAGTGGTGAATTTTGCGGGAGAGAGCTTGACGGAGTCGCATCGGGTCCAAGCTCCCCCGTCCTGCCCTGGCCCGTTCTCGCCCCACTGCCTGGCGGTCTTGGCGTTTCTCAACTCCATCCACGTGCATACATACCATACGCCGTCATTACAAAATTTAAAATTTCATGGGCATCTCACAAGGTCTTGACGACAACACCATTGGCCCTTGAAAAAGACATCTGAGATTTCAAGCACTATCTTTTCTTTTCCAAACCCTGCATGATCATTCTGAAGTCCTTCGGAACACCTTGCATCAGATCAACCCAGCCAACATCCCGCTTTTGGAATCCGGATCTTTCCCACCGGGCGTGAGGACGGTAACATCAAATTTTGTCTTGTACCAATCACTTCACACGACATCCACCAAAAAAAGACCAGAAGAGGAAACACACATCCTTTCAGCAACCTGCATTCCGTCAGGATTCACAGCACATCTCTGTACTTACAGCAAAGGTCACACGTCTGCCACGCCTGTCGCATTCCGCGGCTGTTTCTAGAAGTCCCAAAAAGAGTCGAAAAAGGTCAAGATCGGCAGGAAACGGAAGAAGAGAGAAAGAGAGAAAGAGGAAAGACAGGCAAGCCACATAAATCAGCCAGAAGAACAAGATGTTGTCGGAAGAATTCGTCTCAGGCATCTGCGGCCATCCTCTGAGCTCCAACACGTCCATCGCCAAGGACGTGGGCATCTACGGCCACACCCTGAGCCCTACCTACTCAGTCAAATACAACTTCAAGAAGAGCTCAGCGCCGGTAAACTGCGTTGCCGTCAGCGATACACATGTCTACGCTGCTCAGGAGAACAAAGCCTATGTCCACGTTTACTCGAGGATACGCGGGAACCAGGAGGCTTTTGTGGCTTTCCCCGAGAGGATCCGGTGCTTGACTTTGGCTGGTGACGTCCTGATTTTGGGCACAGCAGAAGGTCGGCTCATGCTTTGGGAGGTACGTTTTCGGTATAAGTGTTTCTGAGACACGCTCGCTCACTCACTCACTCACTCACTCACCCTTTCTTCACCCTCAATCCCCTTCCAACTAACATACTGCTTAAACCTCCCCAGACCTCAACCGGCCGCCTAATCTCCACCCCAGCGCGCCACGTCCAAGCAGTCTCCGTCGTGGTCTCCACGCCCTTCCATGTCCTCACCGGCTCCGACGACTCAGACATCCACGTGTGGTCCCTCCCCTCCCTTTTGGAACTGACGCCCTCCTCCGCCGAACACGAGCCCGAGCGCAGTCTCTCTAATCACCGCGCCGCCATCACCGCCCTCTCCGTGAACGCCTCGGTCTCCTACGACACTAACCTTGCCGTCTCGGCGTCTAAGGACAAGTCCTGCATCGTCTGGAACTACCAAACGGGCGACGCCTTGCGCACCCTGCTTTTCCCCAGCTTTCCCTTGTGCATGTCCCTCGACCCGGCCGCGCGCGCCATCATTGTGGGCTGCGAGGACTCGTCGCTTTACATGGCCGAGTTCTTCAAGGGCGCTGGCGATGGCAAGGCCCTTTTGGGCGCTCAGTCCGAGGACTCGGCAACGGTCATGCAGATTTCTTCACCCTTTGGGTCTACGCAACCTGGCGCTGGCCCGGCGTCGTGCTTGGCGTTTAGCTACGATGGCACGACGCTCTTGACGGGCCACCCGAGGGGACAGATCATGAAGTGGGATGTGGTGGATAACAAGGCGCCAGTGGAGCTGACGAACCTCAACGCTGCGGTGACGAACTTGGTGTTTGTCTCACCGTTTGCCAAGAACAGGGTCGAGGCGACCAGGACGTCGACGATTGTCAAGCCGAACCAGGCGGAACGCGCTTACACGGTTACGACGCAGCTTGAGGCGGATCTGAGGAGCCAGACGAGGGTGGATGAGTTGGTGGGCTCGACGGGTTTCAGCCAGCTGGCGCTGGAAAGCGCTATTGCGGAATTTCAGCAGGCCTTGGCGGAGAAGGAGGTTGAGAAGAAGGAATGAGACGAGTGTTTGGGAGTGGAACAGTTGAGAAGAGGAAAAAGAAATCTCTCCGAGGAAAGACATCATCAGCACGAAGAGAGACATCAGAACACGTTGAAAATGAATTCGACCTTGCATGATTGATCGAGATTGTTGGTTCCTGAACACGGTCTGGCTATGGTCAACTCAATAGGGGAAAAAAAAAAAAAAATTGAGAAAGTTGACATGGTCAGGGTGAGTTCGCCATGTCCGTACATAGATAACTAGAACATTATGTATATATTTCGCAGATACCCCTGAATATAGATATCCAAATCAAAAGGCGCCGACTGTTATCCCAGCTGAGTCACACAAACGAGAAACCACTCTGATGATTCTGTTGGGATTCGTTGACTCTGGAAGATGACTCTAGAGGACGCCTGGTCTCCCTTCACACAAGATAATAACAGTCGGCTTCCATATTCCTTCCACCAAAACGCCACGCTTAACAAAAATGTAAACAGTCCTCATGATGAAACACGCAAGTCTCACCAAAATCAGCCATTACATGCCACCATAATCACCATCACCACCAGCTGCCTGTCCCTTTTCGGCCCAATTATTATCCGACGCAACATAACCTCTTCCTCCTTCCGTGTCACTTGCGTTTGGCCACGCATCAATCACGTTGTCGTTCCCCGACCCGTTCCCATTCCCATACACATTACCGTTTCCATTCCCATTCCCATACCCAACACCACCATCCCCTCTATTCGCAACAGGATACACTCCCGGGCCCAACCCGCCTGTCCTCCTTCGTTGCCGTTGCTGCACCTCACCACCACCACCACCACCCACCCCATTCCCTTTCCCAGCCTGACCACCATCCCCCCCATCCTCCCCCAAAAACACACTCTCCCCTTCCCCCACCACCACCCTTCCATTAACCCTAAACATCTTGGCATTCGCATTACTCAACGCCAGCAGCCCCGCCGTAGCCAGCAACAAGACCATCATGATCATGGCTCCGACCTGCGTCATGTTCCCGCTAAAAGCAGCGACCATGTACACCAGCAGTTTTGCCGTGGCTTCGAGGTATCCCTCTACATGGGTCTTTGAGCGAAGCCAGGCGGTGGCGATTATAGCGTAGAGGTCTTCCGAGAGGCCGCGGAGGCGGATGGAGCAAGGGTGGGTGTCGTCGGAGAGGGAGATGAGGAGGGAGGTTATTGGGTTGGCGGGTTTGTGTGCGTAGCGATCAGGGGAGTGGGATGAAGGAAAGGGGGGGTGGAAGGGATGGAACGGGAATGGCGGAGAAGGTAACGGACGGGGTTTGGAGCGTTGTTTGATTATGTAGATGTTGAGGATGCGGGAGAGCATCAGGGCCAGGAGGGCGGCGAGGGTCCACCCTGTTTTGATAGATGTAAGTATACGATCTGAGCCGCCGGTTAAAGGACAGAAAAAGACTTACAATCCTGAAACAGAATCACCAGCACGATAGCCGCTATCGTCAAAACCGGGCTGATCAGATACAAAACATGCGACAGCCACCCCAGATCAGGCAAGTCATCTACCGTCCACACCGTGGCATGCAAGCCGCTTTCCGACCTTCTGATGCGTAATCGCTGTCTGATAGCCGGGATGGTGCCCACGTCTAAAGTGACCGTTTGTCCTGGACGAGCAATCTTTTGGAGGTACAGTATGGTGGCAGCATTGTTGATGCGGAAGGTTGTCTGTCTCGGATTCCCACTTTGCCCGTTGCTACCTCCTCCCGTCACATCAACACTAGCTTCAGGCCCAGTCCCGGCATCGACAACGGCGGTAGCGCTGGATGCGGACCACTTGATGAGTTCATCAGCAGCTTGTTGATAGTGCAGGCCCGGAGCGAGGAGAAGGCTATCGAGCCAGCTGGAGCCGCCGGTGATGGCGGTGCGTTGGGCAACAGTGCTGAGGTCGGCGAGGGCTAGGAGACCGCCGGCGGAGAGCGAGACACCGGGGATGGGGTGGGTGGTCCACTCCGGGAAGGAGACCATGGTGTTGGGCGGATCTGGAGATTTCGAGGTCTGGATCGGGGATCCTGGCTTTGATCCTCTACCCCACCGAACTTGTCTCCGCTGCTGTGTATAGGGCTGAAGGTTATCTTTGTTGTTTTGGAATTTGAAACTCAGCCGCTGACTTTCGAGTTGGCGATGGACTTGGAGGTTCAAGAGCGATGGACTTGTCGTTCCTGTAGGCTTGGTCCCGAGTGACTTGGTTGAAGCCGAGAAGTCACTCCATGATCCGAGAATGAAGCCACGGAAGACACCCGCCTTTACGCCCGTGAAGAACTGTTGGGCACACTGCAGGGGAAGGGGCGAGAAAGAAAAATAAATACCGTCCCGAATTGTGACACTTCACCGTACATTAGAGCAAAATTAAGCCCATGACGCCAAACGGCCTAGCAAACCCTGCCAGGGCAGCCTATGAGGCGAAGAGACGCCATCTTGGAGGCTTCGTTGGATGTTCACTCCTTCCCTGGTTTTAGCTGTATGCCCACCCTTGTCTCAGTTCGCATATACCCACATGATGGCAGAAGTCTCCCTTAGTGTAAGTAACGGTACGAGTACCCGTGGGCGTTTTTCCCCAGTCCTGAAAAGAAGGTTGTCATCTCAGACCTCACATTGTCAGTGCGTGAGTCTTGTGATGAAGCGAAACATTCACACCCTCTTTTCAAAGGAAAAAGATGTTGGAGACTGACGAAAAGTGGAACCATAAACCACGGTGGGCCCAAGCTCCAAGCTCCAAAGCTGCCTGATCGACGACATCATTCGTCCAGCACCTGACCTGTGCCCACCATGCTATGCGGGGGAAGGCCCCACTAAACAAGGGGGATGGCAGGCTCGCCGGGAAACGACCAACGACGGACGGCCATTTTAGAATCGTCACTCTTCACTTTTGTCCCGAAAAGAAATCTCGAGCAAAGTCGATTGACGGCATCAAGGCAGTGCTAGACCACGCCATTATGGACAACACTTGCTGATGCAAATCGACCACTAATTATACTGGTAATTGCAGTCCTTGACGTTGCAGCTCCTGAACCTCCTCCTCGGCCTCTCCTGAGCACTCGAGCTCTCGCGTCTCGCAATGCGCCCGCGACTCCTCCTCCCCCGCGGGGAACTGGCCCGGCCATGCTCCCCGGCGATACACTCGACGACCACCCGATTCTTTACACAGAGCGCATCCGTCCGTGTGGGAACTCGAACAAGACCCCAACTCGGCTTCCTCAACGTGCCCGTAACCACTCAACAATACCGCTACCTGACGACCGAGCGCAAGGCGAGACTCAAGCAGGACATCAAGCAGGGAATTAAGATCACCTCATACCTCTGGATGGCTGGCGCATGCTGTTTTGCCATCGCATTCGCCCTTGTCCAAGAGACACTCGAAGCCCGCTATCCGACACCACACGAATGGAGCATGCTAAGTCGAATCTTCTTCCGCGGGGCCTTCTGTGAACGAGACCAGACCGACCCGTCCCGCACAACCGACTGGGTTCATGTCACGAATTGGATCAAGAGCGTGGTAGACAGATTGGAGGATCCCGGCATTGACGGCAAGGGACTGAAGGATGCGCCGTCCGACCGACCAAAAGGCACCAGGGACATCAGCACCATGTCCGAGAATTGGCGACGGGGATACTACGAAGCCATGATGTTGTACGCAAAGGCCGCCGAAAATGTCGAGAACTGGGTGACCGACAAGACCCAAAACCTCACCGTCCCGAACGACTACGTGATCGGTCCCTCCAACCCCAACCCGCGTCCCTTCCCTAACGAGAACTACCGACCACCCCAAGAGGATGACTGCGTACCGACCTTCGAGTCGCCAAACGAGATCTACATGCGCATCCTCTCCACCGAAGGCCTCACCAACCGCCAGCGCATTGAAGCCGGCCTCGCCTACGCCACCTGGCTCGAATTCAAGCAGATCACCGGACCCGCCAACATCATCCTCGAAAATGCCGTCGACCTCGCTGCGTCCGAGCAAGCCTCGCTCACCGGTGGCCAAGCCCCACTAGACACCAAAACTTACACCCTCGTCAACGACACCGCCGGCGCCGGCCACCATCATCCCTCCTCCAACCTCCTACAATCGCTCACCGCCCTCGCCACCTTCCGTGCCCGTAACGGCGACGTCTCCTCCGCGCTTCCCATGCTCGTCTCCATCCTCCAAGCGCGCAAGACTCTCCCCTCCACGGACCCGCGTCGTATCCCTTCCTTACCACAAAAGAGACAAACCTGGGCCGGCGCCGCTCTAGCTCTCCTCAAGGAACCACCATACCCGGACCCGCCCGAGGACGGCACCCTCCCCCCTTTGCGCGACGCCAAGGAACGCTGTGAAGAGGCCGCGCTAAGTTTGCATATCGGCGAGATCATGTACACTGCCAAGTCCAACACATCGGGGGCCGCTCATCACCGCGAGGAAGGCCTAGGCTGGACCCGTGAAGCAGTCGACATAGCCGAGGAGCAACTCCGCGGGCTAAGCAACAAGTCCTCCGCCATGTCCGCCCGCTTAACCTGCCGCGAGTGTTTGGCTGCAGGACTAGAAAACTGGACGATGATGGTTTCGAGGCTGGCGAGGGAGGAGAAGGCGCGCAAAGAAGAGTTGGAAAAGAATCCGGACCTTTTGAACCCGAAAAAGACGAGTTGGTGGAGTTTCTGGGGACAAGGGGAACATAAGCAGGAGGATCTGAATCGGTGGGCGGCGGAGGAGAAGGTTATTGCGGAGAGGCAACGGAGGGCGGCGGATCTGCTGGAGGAGTTGCCGACGGGAAATCGGGGGTTTTTGTCCTTTTTGCAGGCTTAAATTTCTTTGACTGGGAAGGTTCTGCGGGGAGGGGTTGGGGAGATTGGGAACGGAGACGCTCACGAAATGCATCATTGGTGAAAAGGGAGCACAGGACAAACTGAGGGGCACAGAACACTACGTACTTTGTTATGTATGAGGCGTTGTAGTATGTATGTTTGTTTGTATGTTTAGTATAGTAGTTGTTTTGCTTCAAGCATTGTACGTATTACAGAAGCTTAGGTTGAGACGTTAAGGAGGATACAGCACTCCTGGCCTACCGACGACAATCACGACTGTTGGATAAATTTTCCGCCTAGGGGATAGTTCATGAAATTGTGTGCTTGTAATTACCTACCGGTGTTGACTTCCCAAGGACTCAACAAGCCAGGTACCTTTGAGATAGCACTAGATGGTCTTGACCATGGTAAACCACCTTCCCGGGCTGATCAGAGATACCTCTACCAGATTGACTCCTCCTGCTGTGCTCTTCTCGAGAAAAGTATTCAACACAGTACAGTACATAATAGCTGTACCGGATTTTTCTTGTACCTACCTACCAGGTATATAAATAAGTGGTTGGTGGTGTTCAAACATCAATTTCCTAGCACCGCTAGATCTGAACAAATCTCACATACGACCATAGGCACTTGGGCAACTCGGGAACCCGTCTGATCTCCCATCGATAAGCCAGTGACCGCCAGGCCAGTAGTCGGATCGGTGACGGCCGGCGAATAATCTGGTGTTGTATGTCTCTTTTTTATTATTTCGATGTTGTGGCTCTTGCTCCTTCCCTTGGTGTGAAGTGTAGTTGGGTGGCTTGGGAAAGAGCGGCTGGTGAGCACCTACCAGCTTTTGTTGACCAGAGAGACCTCCTCCTGCCCACTGTGATTGCAGGTAAGTCAAGAAACTTGCTCTTGCCTGCTGTATTGGCTGGGTGTGTCTCCTGTTCCATGGTTGAACAAAACTGAATGGAAATTCCGTTTGATCTTGACGGCTCAGAGACTATGTTATTATCATTATCTACCAATTTGAGTTCCCGAATATTCACCAGGCTGCCTTTGAGTTAAGCAGGAGACGGTATTGGCTAAACCACCACTCAGACTAACTAAAGGTTACCGGAAACCTTGGACTGCCCTTGTTCTTCTCAACCGGCAGTATCGTCGAGGAAGAACCCAGGTGCCTCTTCCAGCTCCGCATCCGAATGACTCCCTATCCTACTCATCTCGTAGCACAGGAAATGGCCATCAACCATTAAGACTGAGCCGCTCCCACTGCAAGACATCACCGGCGTTGGACCACCAATATGTCCCTTAGATCTCATCCTCAGAGTCAGCATCACCATCTGCCATCATCTGTTTCTTAGCCATGTCCCTGACCAGCTCCTCGTCGATACCCTCGGGTTCATCCTTAGAAGAAGGCTGGGGGCCATCTCTCTGAACTCTGACTTGAACCTTCTTGGCCTCCTCCTCGTGGTTCTTCTCCTCGTTTCCCTCTTTCTTGATCTCTTCCTCCTTGGACTCATCGTTCATCTTCTCCCATCCTGGCCATTTACCGTCATCCTCCTCTTCCTCGGGGAAAGAGATGTGAACCCGCGGGTTGACGTAGTCCTTGTCCAGAGCGACATCCTGCAGCCACTTCAAGACCACGGAGCCGGCCTCGACAAGGATTAGTTCCACCATGACGGCGTCGGGGCCGACACTGTAAGTAGGGCAACCGTAGCCAACGTAACCGGTGACGGCGCGGCTACCGCCCTCAGGGCCAGCAATGAGGGTGTCCAGGGGATCATTGTTCATGATGTAGGCTCGTCCACGCTGTGTGAGAAAGTGTTTGTTAGCCGAGTGACCGTGATGTTCGGTAGCGGGAATGGAACAAAAAGAAGCAAATTACCCGATCCATGAACTTCTTGAAGTCCTCGCAGACTGCCTCGCGCATATCGTAAAAGCCACCCAGAACCACAAGAGCGTTCAGCTTGTGTCCGACCTTTGCCCAGACATCGTCGTTGTCAAGGTACTGCTCCACCTCATCCGACATGTCGCCGAGCGCAATGATATCGATCGTGGTCTTGTCGTTGACAAACTGCGGCACGACCTTCTCAAAGATATACTTCATGTGCTCCGTGTGATCGGCATTCTCCGGAATGGTGTTCCTCTTCGGATCGTGGTGCCAACCCCAATGAACTAGACTGCTACCCGGAATCTGGTGACGAGCAAACTCACTCAGCGCCTTCTTGCCTTCGGGCCACCACCAGAGGTTGCCGGGGTTGGCGAGAATGATGCCGGGCGCAGCGTCGTCGGTCGCGGAAGACTTCTGCTGTTTGAGTGCTTTGACCATGTTCACCATCGAGCCCTTGTTGAGGCCGCCCTGTCCGCTAGCTACACGGTGGGCCAAAATACCAAAGTCCTGGCAGGACTGGCCGAAGATGATCACGACGCGCGACTTGGTGGAGATGTCCTCGCTGAGACGGATCTTGACGTGGCGCTCATCTTTGCTGGTAACGCCGAGCGGGAGGAGGACCTCCTTCAGGCCTTCGGCTTCGAGACGTGAGTCGATGACATCTTTGACTGCTTCTGTTGGATTTTAATGGTTCTTTTGTCAGTATCGTCTTAGATGGTTGTCAGGGATGGGGCGTCCATAACGTACCGTTGAAGGCGAAGCGCTGGAAGTCGTTGTACCTCGAGTTCTTGGTCAAGAAGTACTTGAAGTAAAAGTCGGGGTTGTGCAAGTAGCGAATTTCGTCTTCCTCGTTGATGAAGTAGCTATACGCACATGATATGTCAGCGTGATCGTCCTGTTGAGGATGGTTCGTTGGATTATCACGAACTCGAGCTTCTTGAGATCTGGGGTGAACTTGGGTACAGCCGGGAGACTGGACCAGCGGCGACGAAACATATTTTCTACTTGGAGATCGGTGAGTGTCCTGGTTGGGTTGCCGTTGATCAAGTTGGTAGGTTGTAAGCGTGAGGAAGGAAAGATCGTGAACCACGTTGAGGGGTATTTGAATGATCGTGTTTGGAGGCTCGCGAAGAAAGTCGAATGTTGCCGAATCAGTTTGAAGTTGAGACGGAAAGAGCCCAACACCTGTTCTTTCCTTCACAGGACAAGTGGAAGATGGAATGGTGAGATCGGAGAACGGGATGCGATGATATCGAACGAACATGAGAAGGCAAACACCAAGTCTGGACACTCAACTGCTTCAGACGAATGGCCCAGCTGTTGCGACATTGTAGTTGTTGTGTCGATAGATCTTGACATGCTGTATTCGTTCCATCGCTCATCCAGTCCTGCCTCATCCCATAACCGATAAGACATGCTTGACAAACATGAGGTGTGGACGGGCAACCAAACTCAAGCTGGCAGAAATTAGATCAACATGGAAAGGTTTCCTGGAAAGGATCAAGGTTGCTGCAAACGAGAGCCATCGTCGCTTATATGACCTGATGAAAGGGATACCAAGAAATATCAGCAAACAAAGGCATGGCGAAGGAGTCGTCGAATATACGAAGTGTTGGTGGTGGACGTGGTCGTTGTAAAGCGAATAGCAGGCATCGACACCCAAAACTCGTGAATAGCATCACCGAAGTGGCTGAGCCACAACACCCTCTCATTTCAGGCGGCAACGGACTGACTGCTCCATCCTCACCAAAGACGACCGAAAGCATCATCCAAACGACAAGCCATGAAAATGGAATCTTCTTCACACCCCGAGCGCGTAGCCCAGGATTGCAATGAAAAGGTTTGAGCACCAAAAGCAAGTAGTAGTTCGCGTCACCTGGAGACAGTGTAATACCAGGGACACAGTGGCCGGTAATCATAGGCAAGCCTAGAGGAAAACCGACCGAGTTGCAAAAATTAGAATAATCACGATTGTACTCCGTAGAGCACTTTCAGAGATTAAACTGAAAAGAACAGATACTACACTTGATCTAAGCCAAAAGGCAAAGAGAGCTAAAGAAGAAAGGGAAAAAAAACCAGGTAAAAGTTGGGAGGGGAGGGCAGACTTAAATACCCTCCCAAGGAGACCTGGGGATTGGTCTGTGCACGAGTACAAGCCGCGGAGTCTGGGTGGAGCCTTGCAGGAGGAGTGACAGGCAGTTGATGCACAACTGGCAGGCGGTCTGGCAATGTGTTTCCTGCTGCTTCGTTGGCTTGGCATCTTGCAACCTGCGAGAAAAATAACACCGCCCGGCAAAATTTCCGCCCGTTTTGCGCGCCGGGCGCGGCGGCGGGCAAGACGGCAAGCGCACAGGCCACCCACTGGCTGCCGCCCGTGGGGACTGCCGGGAGAGTCCAGTCCAGTGACTGCCCGCGGCTCGCTAGCGGACGACGACGCCGGAGTGAACCTGTTGTGATAGTATCGAATTCGCGCCCCGATCCGTTGTTTCCCATCCCGCCAGCCAGCCCATTTCATCACCGCCAAAATGTCCATGTTCCGTGCCAAGAAGCTCGACCTCGGGTGCTTCACCAACGTCCGGGTCCTTCGTGACCACTCCAAGCGCAAGGCCTTTGTGGAGGCCGAGCCGGAGAGGTACCTACACCTTGCGATCCTTACTTGCGACTACGACGACAGAGACAGATGATCTAACGATACTCTGTATTAGACAAGCCCTGCGCTACGTCATCCGCAACACCACCCTCCCTGCCCGTACCAGGGCCGTCGCTCAGCTCCAGCTCACCCAGATGCACGCCTACACCAGGCCGACGCAGATCCGGAACCGCTGTATCTTTGGTGGAAAGAGTCGAGGTGTCTTGAGAGACTTCAAGATGACAAGAGTACGTCCGCGTCCGCTATCGAACGTCCCAAAACAAAAGGAGTGGCGGAGGGGTGGGCCATGAGCTGAGCTCCAGACGGATAGATGGATGGATGGATGGATGGGGAAACGTTTGCAAAGGAGACGCGGCTTGCTAACATTGTTGGATCGCAAACAGTACAATTTCCGTATGAACGCCCTGATGGGTAACATCCCCGGTGTCAAGAAGGCCTCTTGGTAAAAGAAGAGGGCATGGCTACGACAAGGAACCCGAAGGAAGCTTGTTGTGGTGATGGAGATCGTGGTATCGGTACGCCTAGAGGCGAATAAACTCTTTTCAAAAACCCAGATGGGCTCGGGTTCATCGTGCTGGCAAAGTCGGAAGTGTTACGCAGGGTTGAAGAGATACAACCATCTGTGAGTGACCGCACGATGAAGAGTGGCCTCAAGAGCTTTTGAAGTGGGCTGACCGAGAGTTTGTACAAATGAATCCTCTTTGGACTGGGGATCTCTACTCTCTCCAGATGCCCGCTGTGTACTACTGTTGTTACAATATTTTAGACACAGCAAACGAATGAATGTCTTTTTAGAAGCTCAAGTAACCGAAAGAATGATCATCCCAGAACGCCAAAACGCATGCGACCCCCCAAGGTGCCAAATAACCAAATCCGTCATCCGTCTATATGTTATTTTACCCGCCATGGGACAGCTGTGAAAACGCTACATCCCGATTATAAATGTTGAAACACGCTTCAGAAAACCTCATCCAACACAATCTGCTTTAGGCGGACTTGGCGCTAGTCGCCTCCTCGGCGGCAACCGCTTGACCAAGAGCCTCAGAGACGACACGCTCGCTGGCGCGCTTCTTCAAAACATTCTCGATGAAAGCCTCGCCAGCCTTGTACGAGGAACGGACCAGGGGGCCACTGGCGCAGTAGAGGAAGCCCATATCAAGGGCACGCTGCCTCCAGAGCTCAAACTCATCGGGAGTGATGTACTTCTCCACCGCGAGATGCCTCTTGGTTGGGCGCATGTACTGTCCGAAGGTGACGACATCAACATCGACCTTCCTCAGTTCTACAAAGCAACATCATGGTTAGCACTTATCAAACGGGCAGGCGCAACTCGTATATGTAGGACTCACCCCTCAAAGCGTCCCAGAGCTCCTCCTCGGTCTCACCTAGGCCAAGCATGATACTGGTCTTGGTGATAATGCCCTCCTTGCCCCGAACGTTCTTGACGTGTTCTAATACCTTCAAACTCTGACGGAATGTGGCGCGGCGATCACGCACGTAAGGCGTCAGGTTCTCGACAGTCTCAACGTTATGCGCATACACATCCAGTCCACTATCCGCCACAATCTTGACCATGTCCAAATCACCCATAAAGTCACCGGTCAAGGCCTCGACAAGAAGAGTCGGCTTCTTCTGCTTAATCCGGCGAATCGTTTCCGCAAAGTGCCGAGCACCACCATCGGCCAAATCGTCACGGTCGACGCTCGTCAACACAACGTAACCGAGACCCCAGCGGGCTAGGGCCTCAGCGGTGTTCTCGGGCTCGTGGGGGTCCAGCGGGGGCGGCTTGCGGCTGGTCTTGACGCTGCAGAAGCGGCAGCCACGCGTGCAGGTGTCGCCCATAAGCATGATGGTAGCCGTCGCGGCGGCCTTGTTGGAGCCGCCCCAGCACTCGCCGATGTTGGGACACCTAGCCTCCTCGCATACTGTATGAAGGTTGAGACCGCGCAGGTCGGCCTTGATCTTGGCGAATTCGGGGTTCGCGCCGGCACTCGGGATGGGCGTCTTGAGCCATTCGGGCAGGCGGGTAATGGTACGCTTCTTGCCGGCGGGTCCGACTTGGGCTGTGCGTAGGGTGTAAGCTTCGCTGGGCGCGAGAGGAGCGGCTGACGATTGATTTGCGATGAAGTCGTCGAGGGAAGCAAGAGTGGTGTCCTTGAAGTAGGTCGGACGCGGCTTGGTTGCGGGCGCGGAAGCGGAAGCGGAAGCGGAAGCGGCTGGCGATGACTCCTGCGATGTCGGCTGGCTGGATGGGGCAGATGGGATGGTGGCGTATGAGCGAGTTGACAGGGCGGCGGCGCGCGCAAGAGACCTCCGCAAAGGCGCCTGGAGACGCTGGATCGGGCCGGTGAAGCCATAATGTGTGATAACCTAAGTCTTGGTGTTGAGCTTGCCCGAACCCTACCCGTCGTGAACTGCTGCAAACAACCTGAAGCCGGGGGATCTTGGGTGGCGGATGTGGAATGATGGCGGATGACTGGGGGAGCAATAGAGACAAAAAGTTCGGCCCCCGGTGAACCGGCGCTTTGGAGCATTTGGAGATTTTTAGTGGCCCACGCCGCCCATGTCCGGTTACGTAACGCCGATCATACCCGCCAGCTGCCGGGGCGCATTAGGGGCCGCGCTTGAGCCGGCAAGACCGGGGACCCCCCATTCCTTGTGCTGGCGACGATGACTCCATTTTGTGAACCCTTTTGGAGTCCAGCAGTTCACCCCATGTTGTTTCTCGTGAAAGTCTGGAAGCACCCGACTAAATGAGGACGCGTTCGGTAAACCAGTAAACGGCTCAGTAAATGGGGTTCAGTAAACCTTTTTACGTGCAAATGTATAGACCGCTTGTAAATCGATTTCGTGGTATGGGTCCGCCCAGAATCTGATCCACTTTAGCGTTTACTGGAGGCCTTTCGAACACGACTTAGTAAATAAAACTAGTAAATGCAAAAAGCATTTACTGAAGCCGTTTACTGGGTTACCGAACGCGCCCTGACGCAGAAAATCCTTTCCGATTTGTTTCAACATCTTGCTACAGTAAACCGGGTGTAAGTGGTAAGGGTCCAGGACCGCGGCAACAGCTCATATAATTTTGTCTGTTACCGTGGAAATAGCGTCGACTCTGTATTTATCTGACGCTATTCCCTTCGGCCAACAGCCCCGTCCCAGTCATTCGTCAAGTGGACCGGAGACTGGACAGAAGTGCCGTGACATCCGCATGCCATGGATGTTCTTGCCGGTGAAGTCGGGCATCTTCGACCGTTGAGAATGAGAGGCCAGGTAGGAGACATGTGGTATTGTGAGGAATGTAGAGATGGCCGATGAAACGAAGCTGCAACACAACCGACCCGAACGAAGGAGAAGATACGGTGCCAATGCGGTTAGGTGTAGGCTCTACATTACCCAGTCGGTGAAGTGTCGTAGTCAGGAGAACTCAGGGGAAACACAGGCTCTTCACCGTGATATCACCTTACTAGCCTTAGCGAGTTCAACTTTTAGTAGTCTCTCTGCTAAGTCCATAGACTTTGTGGCCGATAGAAGGTTGAGTCTCTTCGAGATCTTTCTTGTACATAGTAAAAATACCAGATTCGTTAGTAGGTAGCTAGTGCATTTTCACGTGCGACTTCAGTTGGGCGAATGACCGACTTCTCACTCGCTGAACCCTGAACTTGGTGTGTTTCGTCACCAGAAGCTGCATAGCCACTGAGGGGTGAAGCTGATGGGGGGCTGGCTGAGTGGTGGCGGGCAGTTTACTGTTCCGGGGGTCGTCAGCTTCAACAGCTTGAGTTGAAAGAGAATCAGTGGCCCGGACATCAGGTCAAGACAACGGAAGTCTAAACATAAGCACATACCTGAACACAAAGCGGAAGCTACCGAGCCACGTCACGTCTCTTTTTGCATCTCAATAGAACCCATGAAGAACAAAGCGCAAAATTCTCGAACGTAGGCCAGGCCCCTGATAACAAGAGGTTCGCATGGAAACATTTGTTGGCGTCAATGCTGATCCTACCAGGCCGTGCCTGGGTTCCTGGTTGCCGGTGGGGCTTCCTTGGAAGCGATAAAAGGGATTGTGGCTCGTGCATATGTACTGTGATTACTAACAGGAACACATTGAATTCATAACGGAATGTCGCTAGTCACTCCTGTACCCTAGCCCTCTTTCTTTGCTGGCGGCAACGCAATCACTTGAGTTCAAACCGCCCGGCTGTCCTCTGACCTCTTTCCTGCGCCCTCCTCCGCAAAGCCAAACGACTTGCAACCTCCAGACCACCTCACCAGCCTTCCCGATTGCCAACCTTCTGCATTCCAACAACCCGACCTCCCCTCCCTACAACTCGTCCTGCGAAATCACGATCTTTTTCGCAACGTAACCCGCGACAACATCAACAGCATCATCACATCCTCCCTTTTTTGAGCTCGCGCTTCAAGCTCAATCGACAACTGCCGAATTTATTTCGTATTCAGCCACCCTCCAACACACACACACAAAATGTCCGACGCTCCGTACGACCCTTATATCCCCGCTGGCGGCCAGCAAGGCGCCGCTGGGCAACAAGGTGCTGGCAACAACACAGGAACCGCCAGACTGCAACAGGTGGGTTGTTTCCCCCTTTAAATGGCACCTTTTGGCAATGTGGAAACGAAACTATACCCCTGGAATGCTTGGGGTCCGTCTGTCTGCTTGATCCCTGCGAGGTCAAACAATCGCAAGATTTCGTCAACAATATCGTGCCTAGCTTTGACAGTCGTCTTGGGGAGGAAATATGGTGGCCAAAGTGGTGGACGTATGCGGGATCGATGGATCTGATGGATTTTTGATGGATTGCATGGCATCAGCCATGCGATCGGCTTGCTCCCAACAACATGCGGACGAGCACTTGGGCGGAAGACTGGTTGCGCCGGATATGGCGGTCAAGGCACAAAAGCTCCGGAAATGTTGGGCGATGGACCGCACCCAACTATTACATGGACAATTCGGCATTTTTGGGACAAGCAGACGGATACGGATTGCATCGCATTACAGTCGGATCGTTGTGGCTCCTCGCCAGGCTAGGACCCCCTCTTGAGACTTTTGCTGACGGAACTCTAGCAAATCGATGACACCGTCGGAGTGATGCGCGAAAACATCAACAAGGTCTCTCAGCGTGGTGAAAGGATCGATGCTCTTCAAACCAAGACCGATGACCTCGCCATTAGTGCACAGGGTTTCCGTCGCGGTGCCAACCAGGTCCGCAAGAAGATGTGGTGGAAGGTATGGACTATTCATTCTCTGCTTGTCATACGGAAGGGACTGTTTGATGACTAACTGATTGCAACAGGACATGAAGATGCGCATCTGCTTGATTGTGGGCATCATCATCTTGCTCGTAATCATCATTGTCCCAGCAGGTATGTTAAACTCTGATCCGCAAACCTCTGTACTGAGGACTGTCTGCTGACATGGCTCTTTTTAGTCGTTGCTACGCGCTAAGCTGCTTCTTGAATGATTTGGTTATGATAAGTGAAACAGAAACGTTGTCAAGAAATGCACGAAGCTGGGTTTGGCTTGCTTTCAGCATTCACAGGGAACGGAAATAAGTGCTTCACTGGGATTTGAGTATTTGGGTTGCTTTTTTTCTTACTTTTTTATCGCCGCGGTTTTATCATGGTCTCCTCGCTGGTTGAGATGGCTCCGGCTTTGGTCTTGGTGACGACTTCTTCGACTGATGCCCGGAAACAACACGACCTGTTAAGAGGCGGCGGCGTGGAAAGGTTCGTCGCTTATACCACGCACACACCCTGTATCTACGAGATGAAAGGCGAGGAGGCGTTCTTCTTTTTCTCAACAGCTCTTGAACGGCTAATCAAGACGGTATCATGACCCATCCACCTCCTAATAGTAATTCTATCTTTCCCCATCCCTCACATTTACAGGGTAGTGTATGCTTTGTTTAGAGTACATACGGCACCGGATGGCAACCTCGTACCGGGAGCGGGGATTGGGGATGACGGGGGCGACGCCGGAGCAACGGCTGCCATGCAGGTGTCGTTGATGCAGGTCCACTCATTGCACCCGGGCCATGGCATGGACTGTGAAATGCCTGAAATGCGTTCCAGGGTGCATCATACGATGGAGCCTCGGTGTGACTCCGAACCGTGTGCACCTGAGAGTTATTTTCCGCATTCTGTTGGGAGGGAGAGAGCGACAAAAAAGGTAGAGGTAGGTAATTCTATCCCGTAAAAGTCTTGTTTGTTTCTGTCAGTACTGAGCAGTAAAAGCTCGCAAAACATGTCACCTGCATCCAATGTCTCTTCTTGACATCTCTTGGCGGTCCAACACTGGCTTCGTGACGCTGGAGACACTACGGTTTCGGCGACCAACATGTGGAGGAGAAGATGGGGGGTGGGGGAGAATGGGGTAAACAAAATAACGGCCATATCTTTCCATCTGATAAGATCATGTCAACGGCAGTCAGCCTGCCGAGTTGTAAAAGATAACCAGGGGGGTTGCCGGGGTTGTGCTCGGTGTTACTTGTCTTCTCTTCGTGTTCAGTTCTCCTCTTCAACCCCGAAATTGTTGACAGTTGCTGTGATGATTTTGTAGCCATTTTTTTCAACATCTCGATCTACAGGTACGTACCACACATGATCCCCTCACCAACCCCCCTGAGCGGTTTCGGTTGTGCTTGCAATTTTTTCTCAGTTGCCCCTCCTCCACACTGGACGGGACTGGACTTGGCCAAAGTGCCAGGGCAGCCCTCACACCCGCCAGGCCCGCATGTGGGAATTGGGCCGACTGCAACCAGAGAGGCACTTGCAAAATAAATAAAAAAACATTGAAACACCCCGAACGCCGGCTCCTTCTTCCTGAACAAAAGTCATCATACCAAACCCATTGATCTTTGGCAAGGGATTCGGGAGTCAGCTTAGGGTCCTCTCCTCTCCTCTCCGTTGTTTTCTTCAGTTCCTTGCCTGTCAATGGTTGGTGATTTGCGCGCCAATTAACACAGACAATTGAGTTTTTTTTATTTTTTAGTTGCGATCCAGAGCAGCCAGCAGCCTATTAGTCACTCCTTGGTACAACACCATCTCGAGTCGCCAACCCACCCGCCCGTCATACCCTCCGACGAGCGCAATACCGGTCGACCGATCGCTTCGATTATAGTCTCCTCGAGTTAACGAGCCGAACGAAAACAAACAAACACTTCAACATGTACTCCGCTTGTGCTGTTGCCCTCCGGGCCGGAGCCCGCCGCGTTGTTCGCCGGGTTCCCAAGAGTGCTCGTGCCCTCCCCCGCGCTGTCGCCGCTCGCCGTCAGATCTCTACCTCGGCCGCTCGCTCGACCGATCTTACCACCCGGGGCATGATTGTCCAGACCCTGTCCTCGGTCGGTTCCAAGCGCGAGGTCCAGCAGTACCTCTCCCTCTTCACCTCGGTCTCCTCCCAGCGTTTCGCCGTCATCAAGGTCGGCGGCGCCATCTTGACCGACTACCTCGACGAGCTTTGCGCCTCCCTCAAGTTCCTCTACACTGTCGGCCTCTACCCTGTCATTGTCCATGGCGCTGGTCCCCAGCTCAACAGGCTCCTCGAGGATGCCGGTGTTGAGCCCCAGTTCGAGGAGGGTATCCGTGTTACCGATGCCAAGACTCTCCGTGTTGCCCGCGATCTCTTCCTCCAGGAGAACCTCAAGCTCGTCAACAAGCTCGAGGAGATGGGTGTCCACGCCCAGCCCCTCACCACTGGCATGTTCCGCGCCGACTACCTGAACAAGGAGAAGTGGGGTCTTGTCGGCAAGGTCACCGGCGTTAACAAGCAGGCTATCGAGACTGCCATCAGCAACGGCTATCTCCCCATCCTCACCTCCATGGCTGAGACCGACGATGGCCAGATTCTTAACGTCAACGCTGATGTTGCCGCTGCTGAGCTTGCCCGTGCCCTTGAGCCCCTCAAGGTTGTCTACCTCTCCGAGAAGGGTGGTCTCTTCGATGCTGGTGGCCAGAAGATCTCCGCCATCAACCTCGACGAGGAGTACGAGCACCTCATGTCCCAGGCCTGGGTCAAGTATGGTACCCGCCTCAAGATCAAGGAGATCAAGGAGCTCCTCGACACTCTTCCCCGCACCACCTCCGTTGCCATCATCCACCCCGAGGAGCTCCAGAAGGAGCTTTTCACGGACTCCGGTGCCGGTACCCTCATCCGCCGTGGCAGCAAGCTCCAGTCTGTCACCAGCCTTTCCGAGTTCAAGGACCTTGATGTTCTCAAGAACGTCCTCATCCGCGATCGCGAGACCCCCGATGCCAAGGAGACTGTTGAGAAGTACCTCGACTTCCTCAAGGAGAACCCCTTCAAGGCCTACTTCGACAGCTCCATGAACGCTCTTGCCATTGTCCTTCCCGCTAGCGAGGGTCGCCAGGCCACCCTTGCCACTCTTACTATCACCAAGTCTGGCTGGTTGACCAACATTGCTGACAACATCTTCACTGCCCTCAAGAAGGAGCATCCCTCCCTCGTCTGGACCGTCAAGGAGGACGATGAGAACCTTGGCTGGTTCTTCGACAAGGCCGACGGCAGCATCACTCGCCAGGGTGATGTCATGTTCTGGTATGGCATTGAGAACGGCGACGAGATCGTCAAGCTCATGAAGGACTTCACCGAGAACGGCCGCGCCATGCTTGGTAACTCCAACCTCGAGTCCCGTCTTCGCCAGGCTGCCAGCAAGCCCGCTGGCCAGCAGGTTCGCAGCTACTCCACTCTTGCTCGCCGCCCTGCCCTTCCCAAGTTCAGCATCTCCAACCGCAGGGGCTACCTTACCCAGACCAACCCCAACCCCCCTGTCGGCAAGCAGAACGCCTCCATGGACCGTCCTGCCCGCGTTGCCCTCATCGGTGCTCGTGGTTACACCGGCCAGGAGCTGATCCGCCTTATCGACTCTCACCCCAACATGGAGCTCCACCACGTCTCCTCTCGTGAGCTCGCTGGCAAGAAGCTTGAGGGCTACAACAAGCAGGAGGTTATCTACGAGAACCTCAGCCCTGAGGATGTCCGTGACATGGAGAAGCGTGGCGAGATTGACTGCTGGGTCATGGCTCTGCCCAACGGTGTCTGCAAGCCCTTCGTTGAGGCCGTCTGGGAGGGTCGCAAGGCCTCCGGTCACAAGAGCGTCATTATCGATCTCTCTGCCGATTACCGCTTTGACAACAAGTGGACCTACGGTCTCCCCGAGCTTGTCCAGCGCAGCAACATCACCCAGGCTACTCAGATCGCCAACCCCGGCTGCTACGCTACTGCCGCCCAGCTCGGTATCTCTCCCCTGGTTCCCCACCTCGGTGGCATGCCCCACGTCTTCGGTGTCTCTGGCTACTCTGGTGCTGGCACCAAGCCTTCTCCCAAGAACGATGTTGAGAACCTCACCAACAACATCATCCCCTACAGCTTGACTGGCCACATCCACGAGCGTGAGGTCAGCGCCCAGCTCGGTGCCGAGATTGCCTTCATGCCCCACGTCGCTGTCTGGTTCCGCGGTATTCACCAGACCATCTCCATCCCCCTTAACAAGAGCATGACTTCCCGTGACATCCGTCAGCTCTACCAGGACCGCTATGCCGGTGAGAAGCTCGTCAAGGTCGTTGGCGAGGCTCCCTCCGTCAAGAACATCGGCGGCAAGCACGGTGTCGAGATTGGTGGCTTCGAGGTCGACAAGTCCGGCCGTCGCGTCGTCATTTGCGCTACCATTGACAACCTTCTCAAGGGTGCCGCTACCCAGTGCCTGCGTAAGTCTTTCTACACCTTTCTGATCAAGAGTGCCTCTGCTAACTCGACCAACAGAGAACATGAACCTTGCTCTTGGCTACGCCGAGTACGAGGGTATTCCCACCATGTAAATGAGTAAGCCTTGTTGGGTCTGATGATACCCCAAAGTATTGTCTGGCGCGAGTGACACTTGTCGCTCGTCTTTTTCTCCCAAAGGTTTCCCCAATTTAGCGAATATTTTTGGGTTCATGATTCGTCAACATTTCCTCACATACACACAGTTCTATCTTTTCACCTTTGGTTTATATGCGGTTCATACGGAGTTTAGCTGGGCATGTCGAAAACTGGATTTGATTCCCATTGCTTGTTTTTGCGCCCACATTGTTGTTATCTTCCCCCGATTTATGATGAAAGGTGTGGCTGGCCTGGCATCGTTGTATATATTAGGCTGCTGCCGCTGTTGCTGCTGAAAATAAAGAAGCGAAGTTCGTATATCACCCCAGGGCTGGGAAGCTGGTGAGTGTCTCTTTCCTCGCCGAGGATTTCGATGCCTGATGTTCTCTTGGCCACGACTCTTGGACGGTGCCGGACGATATGGTCCTGAGGAAGTGACCCATTTGTGATATTTCCTCGGTCCCCATTCCTCCATAGGCCTCCTTCCTCTCATCCATCTCCCGGCCGTCGCTCCAATGTGCCATCCATTACGATGTGGATCCTACGAGCGGCCTCTCGAAGTCTAGACTCGAAACCCACCACACGGAGCCCGCAACTATCGCACACAGCACACAGCCTCTTTCCTCAGCTCTGATACTAGTCCCAGAACGAACAACGACCCCAGAATGAGGTTGCTACCCTACCGGGGGGCTTGGCGTTCGAATCCTTCTAAGTTTTGGCTCCGGGATAGGCTCTTCGGCAGATCGACAAATTGGCGCTATCGACTCGCTTCTGATCAGATGCGAACGACATGTCACTCCAAACGGACTTCAACGGCTGGACGACAACGGTTAGTTAAGGCAATCGATAGCTTCGGTTTCGGACAATACCTGAAGTCAAACTATGGCGTTCTAGAAGGGATTCAAAACCCCATTTTCTCATCCAAAAGTTGGGCATCATATGATGGTCCACGGGAGTTCCACGATAAGACATTCATTCATTCGCACATGCTAACTGACCAATACCACACTCAGTACTCACTGACACAAGCATGTGAAAACCAGCCGCTCCCCATCCATTCACTACACCGCTGGGATCATCGTGGAGGGGCGAACAGCGAAAGACTAAAAAAAAATCTCCCTCAACCTCGTGGTTTCTTTCCCAAAGAAATTCAAGATTAGGCTTTTTTCAGCTTGGGGGTTTGTGGGCCGTGTCGTGTAGTATCGATCAACATGGACATGCAAGATTCAGCTCAGTGCAAAGTTTAAAGCTGAGAGAGGATACCACCTACCCTGAACCCTCCACGTCAACAACACGGCCACAGTCCACAGTCCACAGTCCACTACGCTACGTGTACAACAATAGTTTGTTCGGGCAATCGGGGAGGCCGATCAACCGTTTCCCTCCCTCCTCTTCGCCGGTCTCGTACTCTCGACCATTCGATTTCGATACTACTGAAGACCGGATACCGGATACCGGATGTGAAATGTTGAAAGATGGTTCATTTCGCCTATATGAATGTGGATATGGGGTGAAGGTTTACATGGGATATTTGAATCTACATGGAACGTTTGTTCCCCGGGGTCTCGGGAGGGGAGCAAGGCTCGAGAGTGTTCAGGGTAGTCGCATAGGTATGATGTGGAAAAATGAAGATATATGGACCGCGATTCCACGTTCTTGATCATCTCCGTCCTGTCTTCAAGGCCGCTTCGCAGAATATCATCATAGTCCAGCTTTACTTGACTCTTCAGCTTCATCATAACTTTCATCATCAACATCACCATCAACATAGTTATCAAAAGAGAAAGAAAAAGAAGAAATGCCCAGCGCAATCCTCCCACCAGCAGCAGCAGCAGCAGCAGCAGCAGCAAACGTCCACAACATGGACAACCTCACCGCCAAACTCAAAGGACAGACTCTCCGTCTGCCCAACATGCGCAACCTCTTTCCCGGCTGGACCAAGGCCGTCAACCCTTTACTTGACGAGCTCACGCTTTGGTTCGAAGAGGAGATGGTGAGGCTCTTTCCGGATGCTAAAGTTAGGGCCAAGATCAGGAAGAGCGATTTCCCTGGTTTTGTTTGTTTGTGAGTCTTTTTTTGGGGGGGTTTCTTTTTTTCTTTTGTCTCATTTACCTACCTACCTATCTCACTTCTCTCTTATTTCGATTCCACCCTTCCACCCTTTCGTATCTATACTACACAATACATAAAGAAAGAAAAAAAAAAGTCTAACAGACCACAAAAACGAACAGAACATTCCCCGCCTCCCCTCTTCCCCGTCTCCGAACTATTACTTATTACGCCCTCTGGTCCTGTCTCTGGGACGACGAGATGGAGTCCTCTTCGACCCAAACGCTCGCCCACCGCGAACTCGAATACGTCCGCCACCTTCTCGGCTTCTCCTTCTCCCACCCATCGAAAAGACACCAAGTTGTACCACCGCCTACCAAGCCATCGCAGCTTTTTGCGGAACCGGCAAAGGTATTGAGGGAAAATTGGTCGGAACAGCAGCTGAAGAGGTTCATGGGTGAGATGGAGTTGTATATTGGGGCTTGTGCTGTGGAAGAGGGGTATCCTAACGGAAAAGGAGTGTTGCCGACAGCGGAGGAGTATACAGGGAATCGAATGGGGAGCTCGAGTGGGGGAACGTATTTTGCGCTTGCTGAGTGAGTGTTTCCCTTACGTTCTTCTTTTGTGTTTGACGTGAGATTATGGCTAGGGATATGTGGGAGTGGATTATGAGAGTGGATTATGGAAGTGGAAGTGCTAACGAGTATGCTTGCTCATCAATCAGGTTTATGATCAACGTTGAGATTCCGCAGGAAGTTCATGATTTGGAAGAGATGAGGACGATATGGGCCGAGTTGTGTCGGACTGTTTCTTGGGTTAATGATTTGATATCCCTCAAGAAGGAAATCGTAAGTGTCCATGTTACTTACCCCCTCACATCCATCCACCTACCACTTCTCTAGGTAAGGTAGCCTCACAAAACTAACACCCCCCTCCCCCCAAAGAACTCAAGCCTCTACAGCCTCATTCCCATCACCATGAACGAGACCGGCCAAGACCTCAACACTGTTGTGTCCGAAGTCCTTCAAGAACTCGAATCCTCTCGTGAGCGGTTCGAGAGCGCGGCTGGAGAGCTTTTGTTCAAGATCATGAATGAGAACTCGAAAGTCCGTAATGATGTGGAGAGGTTCATTGAGAGTTGTACAATTATGGTCACTGGGTATACTGAGTGGGCGTAAGTCTCTTCCTCCCTTTTTTCCTCCGAGTGCTGCTTGAGGCGATTTGAAGAGGCACGATTGATGACATGATGAGATGATTAGGCTTCAATCAGATCGTTACGCTGTGAAGGAGTATATGCAGGAGGATGGGTCGTTCTTGGTACCATTGTGACGACCCAGAGGGGCCTGGAGAAATTCAAAAGGGTGGTGAAGGGTGAACATAGGGTATTAGACGGGTGTTTTGGTTTTCTTTCGGGGCACAGCGGACTTTCATTTACCTTTCAAGTGTCATACAATACACTTCAATACAGCAGCAGGAATGAACGAACTTTTTACCCATTTCTACATTTGCACAGCTGGGCACTTCGTTTGGTCGCTCAAAGTCGTTCCTTCTCGTTTCCACCACTAGACTTATTCCAAGGAAGGAGCGACAAATCAAATATGTAAAAGGAAGGAACAAGAACAAAAGCAAAAAGACATACTACACCGGTTTATTCGCCCGGTCTTCCCCAATCCTACTATTAGCCTGGCGGTCACTGGCTTATCGATGGGAGATTAGACGGCATCCGACTCCCTCAGCGTCTAGTCCACGTCCCACCTCACCTTCGTCTCGCACCCGACACAAACAAGCCCATTTCTCAACCGCCTCCCAAAAGTCCAAACCGCAAAAGAAAAATACCAGACACATATTTCCGACATCTTCACTACTTGCCCGATCAATTCAAAAAAGCAAAAAGCTAAGTCGCCCAAGAACGCTTGTTGAACTAACAACAATCCACCAGCTGCGAAACCATGCGAAAACTGTCGCGCAGTATTTCATCAACGGTAACCACTGCGCCACAAGTCCACCCGTAGACGCATCGGTGACTGCAGGGCTCCCCGTTGTGGTAGAGGGGCTAGGTAACGGACCTTACATGGTGCCCGCCCGCCCGCCCGCTGGTGCCTGGGCCAGTCTGGGAAGGTGCGCGGGAGGCGGGGTGCCATGTCGTCCGCTGTCTATCTGGTGGAAGGAGCGTGTCGGCTGGCCCGAGGCGGCGGCGACGGCAGGTACGACGGGATGTAGAGGTAAGTATGCAACTGGCAGGGGCAGGGCTGATCTATTATCAACTCTAATGTCTGCCTGAAAGTTTCAATGAAATGGTCTATATCCGCCACATCCTGGGTAACATGAGTCCTTCTTCATCGCCTTCTCTAAGATTCAAAACACGATAACAGCAACAACGCAGACAGAACACACGCCAAATCTAGAGCTTCGAATCCGCATTCCCAGGATTCTTCTCCAACCTGACCAGCCCTTCCTGCATACACGTAGCCAACAACTGCCCATCCTTACTATAGATCCTCTGCGTCACCACACCCCTCCCCTCACCGGCCCACGGACTCTCCATCTCGCTCAACATCCACTCGTCCGCCCTGACTTTGGCCGGCTCATGGAAGTAAATCGAGTGATCCAGACTGACCATCATGCCGATCTCGGGCCTGCCCACCATATCCTCGGGACGCCCTTGGCCTTCCCACTCGGCCAGCGCGCGCACCCTTTCCTGCAAGTCCTCGGGCAGCTTGCCAAAGTCCTCCGGGTGGAACGGGAACCGCCACAGCTTGTGGATGCGCCCGATGGTGCCGATGAAGTACGAGTCGCTCACGTACGCCAGCGCGGTCAGGTGCGCCTGCTGTCCCCCCTCGGCGCTGATCTTGCCTTTGGCTCGGTACCACTGGCGCGTCCTCTTGTCCTGCGGGCGCTCGCTATCGGCGTTGGTGACCTCGATGCGCGCGCTCTGGAAGGGGTTGGGGCCGGAGCGGACAAGTTCTGGCTCGCCGTCGTAGTCGTCCGGAGGGGGTTGGCAGGGTTTACCCGTTTTCTCGTCGATGGGCATGGAAGAGGCGTGCGAGACTTGGCTGCCCCGCGGCCCGCTAGAGCCTTCCCGCACGAAGGAGATGGTGGTGGTGAAGATGCAGCGACCCTTTTGGCGCGCTTGGACGGTTCGCGTGGCGAAGGAGCGGCCGTCCCGGACCAGCTCGACGTGAAATAGGATAGGAAGCTCGGCCGAGCCGGCGAGAAGGAAGTAGCAATGCATAGAGTGGACGAGGAAGTCAGAGGGGACGGTCTTCTGGCCGGCTGCTAGACACATGGCGATCACGGCGCCGCCATAGATACCGCGGGCGCCAGGGGGATGCCATGGTTGGCGGGCATTGGTGAAGATATTCTGGGTGCGGTGTTAGTTCAAGGTGTTTGCGATGATGAACATGTGTCATGCAGGGCTGGTGTATATGTGGGAGACATGTGCACTGGATGGATGTAATAAGATGGGAAAGGTGAGATACTGTATGAGTGCAGACTTACAGGTGCGATTACGGCCAGTTCGGTCACCTCCAAGGAGTTCTCGATGGCCGCCTTGCTTGGATCCTCGGGCGGGGGCCTAATGAGGGTTGGGCGAGGCGCCTCCTTTGATTCCTCTTCCATCTTTCCCATCGCGTTCGGGTTTTGGAGATGACGATGAGATGCGGTTGTCGGACAGACTGTGACACTTGGGAGAAGTGCAGATGTCACACAGTAGAAGAGTTGTAAGACGACGGTAAACACTTCAAGATGCCAATGGGTCTTCGTATGGTCTCTTTATAAAGTCAAGTGGAAGTAAGCCGAGAAGAAGTCTGATTAATCGAATAATATGACAATATTAGTCGGTATAGGTTGAGAAGTATAGCATGGGAATTTGTATGGAGAGTGTTTTGTATCAATGATCATCATTGACCAAGGGGAGGTCAGCCGTAGTGGCATTCTCACAATTGCCGAGGTACCACATTGTTGTCTGGGTTTGGGCGTGTTGATTGCCGCGAGAACGCCGCGGCCAACGGAAGTGGTGGAATGGGAGCCAAGCCTCAGATATGCAATTATAAGGTTGCCCCCGTTTTGGTAATGTTCTCTCGGCATATTCTCAGATGCGGCTTTGGTTCCGAGGCTATTCATGATATGGTGAGTACCCCTTTTTGGCCCCCTTGCCAGTTCATCAGAACTAATCCCCGCCGTTATCACCTGTCAATCAAGATGGACAACCCCACGATAGCCCACTCCCACGCTCTGTGAATTTTAGACTTTGGTGGACTCCTCTTTTTTACACATCTAAACGGCGGTTACGTTGGAACACACGATCGAGAAGATGCTGCCAACATCTGAACTGGCGGCTGTTTCTTCAAAGAACCACGACACAAACCACAAAGCACGAGCCGTAGCGACGTTGTCCATTTTCCCGGTCTGCCGTGTGACAACAGATTGCTGTCGGGTTGGAAAAAGAGAGGGTGGCACTCGAATGGTCCCCTCCCACCACAAATCCTGCCGCCGCCGCTTGTTGTCGCCGTCCAGCAATGGCGTCCATCCACCACTGGCAAGCGAACAACGTCATTTCTCTGGGAGCTAGGATTGGCGTCGGCTTTAAAGTCAAGTTATCCACTCTGCCTCCGCCCACATGTGTCTGTCCCTGGACGTCTTGTCTGCAACTGCACCACTGCACCAAGAGACCCAAGCTCCTTGCTATCAATGCTTTGACCCGCAGCAATACGGAGTCTCATAATTAGTGGCATAGTGAAACACGTTGTCGATACCAAGAGCAGCGTAGTTGTCCTCTCTCCTGATACACCATCTTTGCTGGTCTGGACTCTTTTGTTGCATTGTTGTGTTGCTGTTGCAACTTGCAACTTTCAACTGGGCCACTCTCTTCCCTGTCTACCCTTATCCTCGAGTTCGGTCTATAGGTCTAGTGCGGGGATACCAAGCAGTTGCCAGCGACTCTTCACGCTCTCTTCACAATTCTTGATTCTGTACCTCTTTCATCTTGTTTCAACCTTCGTAACACCCTTTTAATTCTCAAGATTCTGAACGACACACCAAAGCGATGTCTGAGACCGGCGAAAGGTGAGTGCATATCGCAAACCTCCCAGAATTTTTGCTGTGGTTAGGTTCGGGCTTTTGAGCCTAGGTCCTCAACTGCATCATTCCACGTCCTGTTCACCCCACCTGCCCGCACTGCTGCCCGCATCTTGCTTGCCCTGTTTACTTCGGTTCCCAGGCTCAAGTTCCGTCGCTTCCACCTCACCTCAAGCCTCAGTTTCCAGAAAGAGCAACTACGACGACCACCTTGATTCAGCTTAGAGCATAACCAACATCAAACTAAAATCATTCTTATCACTCCAGCCTCCACAAACGGTCGAAATCCGCCGCCCTCTCGCTCCTTAGTAGGCGCAAGCCGCCAGTCGACGACGACATGGCCTCTGACGATGGCCAGGGAGCGTCCGCCTCCCATTCTACACCTCAGAACATCCAAATCCCTAGCCAACAGCCGCCCAGAGGCCACTCCTCCAGATTGTCTACCGCTGGCAGCGCCTTGGGTCGAACGCCCTCGAACCACCAAGCCACCCCTTCCGTCGGCGGAGGAAGGTCGCCATCCATGCTATTCGACAAAGGACAGGGGGCGTCTCTCGAATCCTCCGTACGCAAGTTTCGGATCGTCGAAGCTCTTCGTAACGGCGATACGGCGTCCATTTCCAGAGCCATCCGCGAGACTGCCGAGAACAACCCACGCATGAGCATTTCGTCCGCTGTTACCGGCCCTCTCGAAGATACCACGATCCTCCACTTGGCCATCCAGTGTGCCGAACAGACTGTTGTCGAGTACGTCTTGTCAGATGGTGCTGGCTCTCTCGACATCAATGCCCGCGACAAAGACGGAAACACTCCTTTGCACATTGCTGCCCAACAGGGACGTACCCAGATTGTCCGTCAGCTTCTCGAACACAAGGATATCAACGATGCGATCGCAAACCACCAAGGGCGTTTGCCCATCGATCTCGCTCGCAACCCCGATATTTCCAGCAACTCCAGCTTGCCAGATCGCTGTTCGCTGAGGACAAGGTTCGACAAGTGCAGGACCTTATCCTCCATAGCGACTTCAAGACTCTCGAGGAGGTGTTGGAAGAGCCACGTTTCAAAACTGTCCTCGACATCAACAGCACCGAATTTGCCGCCGAGTCCGCCACGGTTGAGAGCGGTGGCACCCTGCTTCACGAAGCCGCTCGTCGCAAAAACACAAAGCTGATCCAGGTTCTACTGCTGCACGGAGCAGACCCCTTCCGCAGAGATCGCAAGGGCAAGCTCCCGCAGGATGTCACAAAGGACGAGATCACAAAAGCCATGCTCAAGAAGTCCCCCGCTGCTGTGGCTGCCCAGAGGGGCATTCAGGAGAAGGCCGTCTTGGGGTCAGCCACACATGGGGCAGCTGCTGCGGCGTCTGGTGATCCCCTGGCGGGAAGGGAAGCTCGCGAGATGAAGGGATATCTCAAGAAATGGACCAACTACAGAAAGGGATACCAGCTTCGTTGGTTCGTTTTGGAGGATGGTGTCTTGAGCTACTACAAGCATCAGGATGACGCGGGTTCTGCCTGCCGTGGTGCTATCAACATGCGCATTGCCAAACTTCATATGACTCCTGACGAGAAGACAAAGTTCGAGATTATAGGGAAAAACTCGGTCAAGTACACTCTGAAGGCCAATCACGAAGTCGAAGCAAAGCGCTGGTTCTGGGCCCTCAATAACTCCATCCAGTGGACCAAGGACCAGGCCAAGGAGGAAGAGAGACAGCGTGCCCGCAATGCCGAACTGCTGAAGCAGGCAAAGGCGGAACATGCCCATAGCATGTCTGACGCCGGTAGCGACAATGCTAGTTTCGTTGAGCACCGCCGTCAGAGCGTGCAGCTTTCTCGCATGCATTCTACGGCCAAGGCTTCCAAAGCCTCCTATGGCGCCAGTGGTAACGGAAGCAACGAAGACGATGACTTTGTGGATGCCGGAACCGAAGCAGACAGGGGTGAGCATCATCATGGCGATGATGACGACGATGACTACGGTGAGGGTTCGAGCGGACAGGATGTTCCATCGGCAAACAAGGATGCTTTCAACATCACTGCGCAGTCTGCAAAACTCCAGCTGGACACCATGGCGCAGGTCACCGCGGCCCTGTTGGCGGAAACCAACAAGAACCCCGACCTAAGGTTGTCGGATCCCAAGACCTCTCAAGCCTTGGCTGCCTATGATGCTGCAATTCGCTCTCTTACGGGACTTGTTGGCGACCTCCTCCGCATCTCCAAAGACCGCGACGCGTACTGGCAGTACAGACTTGACCGTGAGAGTGAGATGCGTCAAATGTGGGAGGAAAGCATGGCCCAAGTTGCCAGGGAGCAAGAAGCCCTGGAGGCTCGGGTTGGGGAGGCCGAAGCCAAGAGGAAAATTACCAAGCGTATCCTCAAGGAAGCCCTTGGATCCGGTATCATTGACGAAAGCCAAGTGAAGACCGCTGCACCCACGGCTGCCGCTGCTGCTGAGGCCACTGATGATGCCGACGCCGAACAGGCTGATGCCAGGCCTAAGTCGCCGGTTCAAAGCATTCGCCGCCAAAAGACCATCATGGATCAGGTCGCAGAGCTGTCTGACTCCGACTCGGATGAGGAAGAGTTCTTTGATGCAGTCGACGCTGGTACTGTTGAGGTTTCCCAGTTGCCCCCTTCGGAGCCAGTGGCTTCATCGAGCGAGACTCAGCTCGTGATCTCGGATGGTACAGATATCAGCGAGTCGTTCAAGGGATACGAGAACGGTATCAGGACAAAGTTGAAGATGGATGCAGACAATAGGCCCACTATCTCCCTCTGGGTAAGTCTCAATCATCATGCTGCATATTAAAGATTCCACTAACGAAAACTCTAGGGTATCCTCAAATCCATGATTGGCAAGGATATGACCAAGATGACTCTGCCCGTCTCCTTCAACGAGCCCACTTCGCTCCTCTACCGCTGTGCTGAGGATATGGAGTACGCCGACCTCTTGGATCTCGCCGCTGATCGCTCTGATTCGATAGAGCGTTTGATCTATGTTTCCGCTTTCGCCGCCAGTGAATACGCATCGACCATCGGTCGCGTTGCTAAGCCTTTCAACCCCCTCCTTGGCGAGACCTTTGAGTACGTGAGACCGGACAAGAACTACCGCTTCTTCATTGAGCAGGTTAGCCATCACCCGCCCATTGGTGCAGCCTGGGCCGAGTCTCCCAAGTGGACTTACTACGGAGAGTCGGCTGTCAAGTCCAAGTTCTATGGCAAGTCCTTCGATGTCAACCCTCTGGGTACCTGGTTCCTCAAGCTCAGGCCGACTTCCGGTGGAAAGGAGGACTTTTACACCTGGAAGAAGGTCACTTCATCCGTCATTGGCATTATCACCGGTAACCCCGTGGTTGACAATTACGGTGTGATGGAGATCAAGAACTGGACCACCGGCGAGGTTTCGTACGTCGAGTTCAAGCCCAGGGGGTGGACCAAGTCGAGTGCCCACCTGATTGGTGGCAAGATCCTTGACGCCAACGGCCAGGTCCGTGTCAGCTTGGGCGGTCGCTGGAACTCCAAGTTCTACGCCCGCTTGACGCCTGGCTACGAGGCCACCATTGAGGAGAAGTCGGGCAACGAGACCGTCCACAAGGGCGGCATCAACGACCCGACCAAGGCCTTCCTCATCTGGCAAGCCAACCCGCGCCCGACTGGTATTCCCTTCAACCTCACCCCCTTCGTTGTCACCTTTAACCACCTCGACGATAACCTCAAGCCCTGGCTCGCCCCCACGGATTCTCGCTTCCGCCCCGATCAGCGTGCTATGGAAGAGGGCGAGTATGACTTTGCTGCGACGGAAAAGAACAGGCTCGAAGAGGCCCAGCGTGCGCGTCGCAAGGCTCGTGAGAGCAAGGGCGAGGAGTTCCAGCCCGCGTGGTTCACCAAGGCGCGGTGCGAGATTACGGGCGAGGAGTACTGGAAGTTCAACGGCGAGTATTGGAACAGGCGCGCGAAGGCTGGTCCTAACGGCGAGGCCAGTGCTTGGCAGGGGTTGGAGCCCATTTTCCAGGATGCTTAGTATGTTGTTAATGAATTGGATGGGATGCTTGATCAAATGTCTTTGAGTCCTGTGAAGGAGAAGAAGAAGAAGAAGGGACGTTGGGCGAGGTGGCGGTCTCGGTCTCTTAGTCGTGTGTTCGAATAAGCAGGCAGACAGACATGGCAGGGTAGGGTCAGTTGGTATAGTATACGTAAACGGTGGTTTAAGCGTGAGGTATTCTTGGAATGTTTAACAGGAGGTTAAGATTTGGTGTTCCCCTATAAGTGTTGTTGTTGCAGAGACACGAAAGTTCTTGCAAACGAGGCTCGAGGTGGTGGACTGGGCACTTGGGCTCTCGATTGCTCAAGGACATCATTATTTCATGACAGTAGCTGGTATAAAATATCTCCATCCATTGCGTTCATGTTCGCGTTCCGTATCGTACCAAAACCTCCCAGGTTGTTGAATTGTCGTATTTTGCTCCTAGCTGTAGTCAATATAGAAGGACTAAGAAATAACACAAATCATCAACCTTTTTCCATCACTGCTTCACGAACTTCCCAGCACCAAGTACCACACTCATAACACTAGACAGTACGGGATACTGTGCGATGATCGCACAATTTCGCAACTAACAGGCAGGAACAGACAGTGCCCAAAAGAATTAGAACTGTACCAGCAAGCTTTCTAGAACGTGTGCACTGACCATATCATCGAACGTCGCTACATCAACATCGACTTGTTCCGAACCTTGTCCAGGCACGACTTCACAATTCCACATTTACATCAAGATATCTCGGATTTCGAAATCAGGTATGGCAGAAAGATTTTGGTTCATCCCGCCCAAAGAGCGCCTTCGTCTCATAACGCGGATTGAAACATCCATATTCCCGACCGTTTCTCATCCCTCATAAATACCTTCAAATACTTTGTCACTGACCACAAACACAGCGCAACCAAGTGATCTCGAATACCAAAAACTCACCAAACCACCCATAACAGACGACAACTCTCCTTCTTCAAGATTCAAAATAGAACAGCAAGATATCAAAATGGCCGCCATCGACGTCGCTGTTGAAACCACGATGGTACCAACCTTCTTCCCTCACCTTCCCTCATCCACCCACCCCCCCAAAAACCATCACCTCACCTCACTAACCCTTCACCCCCCTTTGCGTCTCAGGGCACATTCACCCTAGAACTCTACACCACGCACGCCCCCAAAACCTGCAAAAACTTCGCCACCCTCGCCGACCGGGGCTACTTCGACGCGACCGTTTTCCACCGAATAATCAAAGATTTCATGATCCAAGGCGGCGACCCTACCGGTACGGGTCGTGGCGGCAGTTCCATCTACGGCGAGAAGTTTGAGGATGAGATCCACCCCGGTCTGAAACATACCGGCGCTGGTGTGCTGAGCATGGCGAATGCGGGGCCGAATACCAACGGGAGCCAGTTCTTCATTACGCTGGCGCCGACACCTTGGTTGGATGGGAAGCACACGATTTTTGGACGCGTGAAGAAGGGGATGGGCGTTATTAGACGGATGGGCATGGTGCCAACTGATAAGGAGGATCGGCCGGCTACGGAAGTGAAGATTGTGAAGGCGAGGGTTGTTAAGGAGGAGGATATGGAGGCTTGATGACCCGGGTCGTGGGAGAGAGTGTGTGAGTGAGGGTGTGAGAGGAATTTCAACTGGGGCGGAGAAGGGAACTCATAGGTTGAGAGTATAGAGGGGTCTTGACAGCTGTTTGAAACGGTCAGAATGAGCTGCTGTTTTGTTCTGCCGCTTTAGAATGGTTAGCGTATACCATAGACCTAACAGACGACTCCTCGTCTTCAAAGAAATTCACACGCACGATACAGATATCAAGGGGAGGAGAACTAAAATTGTTGACCGGTAATTTTTGTATTCATCCTGACCTAAGCAACGCTTGTTGTTCTAACACGGTAGCAAATTATACATCTGACACATTGTGGATCGGTATACGAGATGTCCATATCCTCTAAAGGCTCTGTCCATTGTCCAATCCTTGAGCAGGGTCTATTTTTGTAGCAAGAATGGGGTATAATGTATGAATGCGTGTATAGGTAACGCCAAACCACCTTTTTTTGTCCTATGGTGACCAAACAATCCATCGTTAGTCAGAGTCAGGCACCTCGCAGATCTAACGGGGCGGCGAAGACATGGTCCCTGTCGATTCTGTCTCATGGTCCTTTTCCTTCTTCCCTATTTTCTTTCCCGGAGCATTTAACTGCGGCTTTGTGCCTAGCCCAATCTTCAGCTTTTTAACTGGTGATGTGCCTTTCGCTGGTGTAGTCTTCTTGGGAACGACCTGCACGGTGGAGTTCTTTACATCATCGTCATCCACGCTCTGCTCAACGCTCAGCATCGAACTCGTCTTTATCTTCTCCTTCTTAAGGGTCGGCGTTGTTGACTTGGTCTTCAAAATGACCTTCTTTGGTAGAGCCGTCGGCTTGAGCTTCTTCTTCTTAGCACTGATAGGATCAGCTTCGTCCCCATCCTCGTCAAATTCATCACCGTCTCGCTTCCTCGGACTAGTTGCCCGGCTCGTTGGTACGGGCGTCCCCTTTTGGCTTGCTGGCGGAGTGTTGTCATTGTTCTGACTTCCGCCGTTGCTGCCACCGTTGCTAATCTTCTGAGCCGCCGCTCTACTGGCGTTTCGCCCGCTGTTGCCAATGCAGGAGCCCATGTGATTGTTGAGACGTGTCACCAGGATACAACGCTTGCACTTGGAGCAAGTAGCACTAGGGAAGCTGAGCACATTAGGCGGGCGATCCTTGGCACTTCCCTCCATAGCTGCCACCGCTGCAGGATCGTTGGGGTCCATCTTCTTCTCCATGTCCTTCTTTTTCTTTCCTCGTCCGGGGCCGGGCTGAACCCAAGTCTGTCCATAAATGTCGAACCCTGGCTTCTCGATGTACGGGTGCCTTTTGCAATATGTAACGTTCGGATCTGGCTTTTGCGCTCCCTTACCGTCTGTAGGATGAAGCAGACGGGGCAGTTGACACCGTGGACACAGAATCTCCTTTGTAGTCTTTAGGGGATTGCCCTTCAACGTAACGTGTCCGTCCTTATACAGAGCAGCGTCGGTTTCCACGACAATCTCGGGCCGTGCGTCGGGAGTCGATAAATCGGAGTTCTCCATAGCGAGCTTCTCGACCTTGATGGCCGCCGTCCTCATTCGAGCCATCTTTTCGTCTTGGTGTACCTTGAGGACTAGGTCGTGAAGGATGTTGTAAAGCAAGTCGTCCACCACGGAGCATGCCTACAGGGAGCACAACACAGGATTAGTACAAGTATTTGGATCGATCTTGGGCGATGGGGAAATGCTTACAAGCTTATCCAAGCTCCCGACATCTTCAGGGGCAACCACGATGCCAGCCTTGCCGGTCCTGTCCCCTTCTGACGACATCTTGACAATGATAGACGCCTGCCCAAATTTTGTCGGGACTGATCGACACCCCTGGAATAGCTGGTCGAGGTTTGGCAACTATCGTATGAGATGGCCCCCCCCTGTGTGTCGTGTGAAAGTCGTGGGTGTGTCGCGACACTCTTCACCCTCCCAGACTCTGATGATGCTGGGCAGGCCGAGTCAGGGTTGAAATTCGATTGGCGTAGAGGGTGGGAAATGCGGTTGGCCGGCGATTTTGGGTGTTCAGTTGGTGATCGGAACGAGGCTTTGGTCGACGCGCGAAGAAGTGGCCTTGAAGCATCCACGGATCGTTAAACTCGGCTGCAGCAAGCCGAAACCGCCGACTTGCACTAAGTGGTGCGTGTTTCTCGAGAGCCTCCAGTGGTGATGGGGGCAGGAATGCTGGATACCGACTGAGAACCGGTGTTGCGTGCACTGTTCAATTGTGAACTAAGCTGCGATATGTTCAAAAGTCTCGGAGCTTCCTAGGGACCTTTGGATGTGGTGGTATTAATCGGTCGACGATGGTGAATTTTCTGCCCGAAGCTTGGTTGATGTGAAAAATGTCCATCCACGGTGATGTTCGGTAGGTCGCGGTTTTGTGGCAGTTGCGTACATGCAGAAGTTGTAGTGGGCTTCCAGCGTGTAAGCACTGGCTAACAGTGGAGCATCCGAGTTCCATCAGGCGACTGCGACCGGCCAAGGAAAGCAGCTTCCGTGCTCCCTTCCACCTCACCCACGGTTCGCGATTGGTGGTGTCTGCGTGCCTGCCGCGGACGCCCTGTTATTGCCCGTGGTGTACCTGAATTTCCTCATTATTCATCTACTGTTACCAACACATCAACCATGGCAAGTTCGTGCCAGCAATTAGACACTGATATTGGGGCTATATGTCAACTGTATATTCATCGTTTCTCGATGAGTAAACGGAATCAGACAATATGGCTTCCCAACCCAACTGTTTGCAGAAAGTTGTCCAGTATAAGCCGCCCAAGGTCGCCATGAGCCTCGGTTTCCGAACAACCACCACAAAATAGTCTCTCAGCACCATACACAGAGGGTATCGTTAGAAGGTCTATAAAACCAAACCACGCGCAGTTTTCCATGAACGCAGAGTGCATTCCGCCTCTCGATCCTCCCGTCGTGTGTTGCCATCACATGTGGGGCAATACAAGGTGTCAAGAAAGTCTGGCCCGGAACACATCATCCATCGTTGTCCTTTGGTAGGCGTCGCCGCCGGGTGGGCCAGGGGCACAGTGATGGTGTCCCTGAATGTCTTCTAAACTGCGTCTGTGACATATGTCAAGTGGGCCAGACTTCAACCACTGACACGACGGTTATTTACACTTGTCGTGACCACGGCAACATTGCTAATTTCCCTCTTTCTACCTTCTCTTTCGGTCTTTTTCCCATTCGTCTCTCCCTTTCTTGCCCTCTTTCAAATCCAGTTTCCTCGGTGCCCACTACTTCAGCATGTCGCGTAGTCAACAACCTTCGATACTGTCATTCTTCCAACCCAAGCAACAGCTACAACAACCTCAACATGCCCCTCCCCCTCAAGACTGCATGAACGGTGCAGACACAACAGCAAGCGTGCTTCTGAGCAACACCTCCGTACCACCACCACCTCCTCCTCCTCTGTCTTCCCTCACCTCGGCCCCACCGCCGCAACAAGTTCCAGCTCGTCCAGGTGTCAGTCCCGTCACGGTCACTCTTCCGGCCAACATCCCCGTCCTCCCATCCCCACCGTCGATCCCCTCTCAAGCTAGCATAGTCCCGGTGGCCGAACACCACATAGCCGCCCTACGCAGGATCAATTCGCTCCTCCTCCAAGTCGCCTACCCGGACGCCTTCTACGCCAAGGTCCTCGAACCGCTTGCCTCGGGGCTCTTCTCGCGCGTCATCCTGTGGAGCGACGATCCTGCTTCCGAGCCCAAAGTCATCGGTGGCGTCGTCTGTCGACTCGAGCCGAACCCCTTCCTCGACCCGTCCAACGGCCAACCGCAGGCACCGCAAATACCCAGTGCCCAGCAGCAGAACCAGCCCGGCCCAGCTCCCGCCGACTCCCCTTACCACGCCATCTACATCCAGTCGCTCGCCCTGCTCTCACCCTACCGATCCCTCGGTCTCGCTGCCGCCGCGCTCGACCACATCATCGCCAGCGCCTCGCTCCTGCCCGCCGCCGGCTCCACGATCGACGTGCGAACCATCTACGCCCACGTGTGGACCGAAAACGAGGAAGGACTGCAGTGGTACGGACAGCGAGGGTTCCGGACCGAAGGCCGCGACCCAGTGAGGGGGTACTACTTTAAGCTACGACCGGACACGGCTTGGATTGTGCGTAGGGACATTGGAGGAGGATCTGCTACAGAAACACAAGCACCTCTTCTATCCCTTGGGGCGGCGAACTCTTTACCGAAACGAACCCTCCCATCAACCGGCATCATGGCTTCCAGCACAACCGCCACCACGCCCGCCACGGCGACGGGCGTCCTAGCAGCCGCTGTCAACCTACCCTCTTTGGCCACACTACCACCGCCAACAAAGTCCCCAGCTGGACCTCCTCCATCATCTTCGAACCCAATCACCCGTTCATCCTCAACAGCTTCCTTCCCACCATCAGCAGCAGGGGCACCGGGGGTACCACCTACATCAACATCCACCTCAACACGGCCACCGCCCCCCTCAACCGGCATGTCCTACCAAAACGCGCGACCAGAAACAGAATGGAACGACTTGCCGCCTGAGATGGTCCAGATGAGTGTTCCCGGCGCTGGTACTCCCAGGGAAATGACTTCGGGGGCCACTAGTAGTAGTGCGGTTAGCTCGAGGAGTAGCTCTGTGGCACCACCGGGGGGGCCGAAGAAGAAGAAGGGGAGGGCGTATCCTAGTGCTGCTTTTGGGCAGTAGTAGACTAGTGGGAGTAAACGGTGGGAGGGATCTGTCTGACATTCCAGAAGTACCTAGTGGTGTTTGGTGGGAGAAAGGGATGAAACATAGTTGGTTGCGTGTGTCCTACGGGGCAGGGCTTCATCGGTTTGATTGATGAACTCCTCCTGAACTGAACTGAACTGAACTGGAGGAGAGATTCCAAGTAAAAGAGGAGCACGTACTGGCTGGTTGGTTGGTGTTGGGCCTGGGATGGCCTTCTTCGCCTACTCGGTCGGCTCTTGGCTATATATATTTTCGTTTTACTAAGCGCTGTGCACACACATGGAAGACATTTTGTCACAAGGTAATAGAATAACAAATAACCTAGTTAATGTTAAGTAAACTACCATACTACTATGAAGCTCTTGTGGTAACGTAGAATTACACCAGGGTATCGTTATTGAATATCGTTGCGCCTCTTTGCTAGGGTAACGGCTGAACTGAGATAAACTCATTTCTTTAGAAATGGACAAGTCTAAGGAGAAAGAAAACACATCGAGACGACCGAGAAGCAACATCTGGTAGTACAAAAATTACAGCTTCGCTGATTGATACTTTTCTTGCTATACAGTATATAACAACACCTTCCAAGTTCCAACCCGGTAACCATCTCGTGAAGCGAGAAAGAAAGAAAAAAAGTGAATTTGAAGCCCATCCCTAGTAGCCTCGGGGGTTTCCCTAATGCGATAGAATCCTAACCCAGTGTGACGCCTGCGCAAAATAATCATACCAAAAGAAAAAGAAAGAAAACTTTGAAAAGATTTGGTGTGAACCTCAGATCCCTTTTCAGGTCCATCGTCGTCCCATCGTCGTTCATCCTTACACAGCAAACAAATGTTGCTATTCGCTTAACACTTTTTCCTGTCAACCCTTCACTCCTAAAACTCCATTCCCTGCGCCAAGCCGTGTTCACATAACAATGCACCTCTTTCCCCGACATGTCAGTGATGCCATGCCTGGCAATGGACAAGCTGCCGTCGTGGACTCCTATTCCGCGGCGGCAAGCTCGCTAAGCTCGCTGTGCTCAGGCACGGCTGTCAGATCGGTCTTCTTGGCGTTGAGACGGAGGTCGGTGATGAAGTCGGTGGTGGAAGTGGTCTTCTCCATTCCCGCGGCGACGAGAGCGATCAAAGCGGCACCAACACCAGATCCGTCCTTGGCAATACCAATACGGATGCGCTTGGCACCCTCCTCACCAACGCCCTTAATAGCACGAAGAGCCTCGTAGATCATGTCGCGGAAGTAGGGGTAGTGCTCGACCAAGCTTCCGTCAACACCAATGTCGATGGGCTCGCCTTCTAGCTCGGGGTCGGTGAGCTTGCCGGTCTGAAGAACGATGGCAGCAATGGCAACAGCCGAAAGACGAGCAGCGCGGCGACCGATGGCACAGGCAATGGCCTTGAAAGCCTGGGCGTCCTCCAACGATGGGGCATAAACGTGGAGGTTAGACTCGAGCTCCTGGCGGAGGATGGACAACTCGGGGGTAGTGTCAGCGGCAGCGACAGACAGGACCGAGGTATCGACACCCCACTGCTTGAAGAGAGGAGAGTGTTCGGCAATATTGGTGGTAGACCTCCAGTCGTTGGAGCTCGAGTTCTCGTCCCTGAAGAAAGCAACGTCTGGGTTCTTAAGCAGATCGATGACTGCCAATCGCAAGATCTCGCCGAGGTACATGCCGGAGACACGCTTTTCGTACATCTGAATGCCGGGGTTGGGGGTGGCCTGATCGAGCTGGATATCCCATGGTGTGTTGGGGAGGACCTTGAGCTGGTTGTCGAACGAGCCCCACTCGGTGTTGATGACCATCTCCCCGGTAGAATTGTCGTACTCGCCGGCCAAAGGCTTCTTGAGCTTGGAGAGCTTCTCGACGTAAGCACCGTTGGTGCCAGTACCGAAGATGGCGCCGAGGATAGCACCGCTCTTGCCAGGGGAAGAGTAGGAGCGAGCCATTAAAGTACCAACAGTGTCGTTGACGAGGGCGGCAACCTTGACGGGGAGATGGAGCTTGTCAATCTCGGTTTGGAGGAGAGCACAGACATCCTTTCCAACGGCGTCTGGGATGTCGAAACCCTTGGTCCAGCGAATGAGTGTACCCTTATTAATACCCAGTTGTTGGACGGGGAAGCTGAAAGTGAAGCCGAGACGGAAGACGTTCTCGTCCTTGAAGCCCTCGGGAGAGCTCATGGTCATGCGTCTCCGGATGTGTGCCTCGAAGTGCTCGCCGTGATGTGTCCTGAGGAAGATTTCGATCTGCTTCGCCAAGAAAGCGAACAATTCCTCAGCGGTCTTGGCAACCATAAGCTCTTTGGGGATGGCGACCTTGGTGTATGTGAGACGGAAGGTGGTGTCGCCGTTAAGCTGGATCGAACAAACACGGAAGTTGGTGCCGCCAAGGTCGACGGCCATGTAAAGGCCCTACACGAGCAGGAGGTTAGCTATCGTTGCAAGCACTTGTTGGTTAGGTATTGGCAGCACTCTGTAACTAACCTTCTCGGTACCATTGGGAACGGCAGTGACGTATGTGGGAATCTGGCTCAAGCTAGCACCATCCTTCTCGAGACCTTCGGCTACAATCCTCAAAATGTCAGAGCTTATTGCGGCATTTGTCTACGACGATTACGGAACCACCTACACATTTGACGAAGGAACTCTGTGACACCCTTGTTGACATCCTCGTCCGAGTAGTCGAACTGACCGACAACGGTCTTGGTCTGAGTCTCGAGGGCCATTGCGAGCGGGCTCGAGACTGGATCGGTTGTGGGAAATGGGGAACGGGTCTCGCACACTGCGGGTGGTTGTGGTTGTTGAGGTTGAACTTGCGAGAGGGCCGGGAGAGAAGACGTGGCCTTGATGGTGGTGGGAGTCAAAGTGGGTTGTCGAGATAAGAAAGAAGAATAATGAAGTGCTGAGTCGGGGAGCGAGGCCCGGAGAATCTGGGGAGTTCAAGAGTTATTATATGTACTGGTGGTAGTGGTGGACAATTCCTGTACAATGCGGGTGCTTCTCCGTGGGGAATCCCTCGTGACGGTATGATGTTAAGGTACTTGGTGGGATGGTCGTGGAGGGGCACAACCAGTGGGGTACCAGGGTCATCAAAGATGTACCAGTGGAGGTCCGATGGGTACCGCGCAGTAGTGGTTCCAGCCAGGTACAGTAAATTGGAGCAATCCGATGTTAGGTACCTTAGGTTTCCGGACGGACCTGCTAGGTTTGCTCGGCCGACCGATTTTAAACCCAACAAGCAGGTTAACAAACCTGTACTTTTCTTGGGTACATACCTAACTGAAGAAGTACATAGCAAGTGCATGCCCACTGCCTTGGGTCAGGCTGGTTCATCCAAAATTCCTGGCTGCCGTGGTCTGCTGCCCGGTCGGGAGTTTCCCGCTAGGTGCAGTCAGGGACATAAATGCCGGTAGTAAGGAGAGTGTATATTTGGAACGGTCCGACTTGAAGGAAAGCGCCACTGAACTGAAAGAGAAGGGTGGTGTACTTACAATAACGACTACCAAGAAAGCCACTGACGACGACAGCACACGGATCAGGCTGGTGAGGACACCACGGCAACTCTGGGACCGGTCGCGTTTCGCTTGCGATTTGCTAACTGCACTAGGGCTGGTGGAACGAAAGCGAGTAGAAACGGTAGCTCTAGGCGATGGAGGGCTGCCTGGGCTGGAGGGAATGTCGGCACTGGCACCCGTCGTCTGCGTCTTTCGGGCCTCTTTTTCTTTGGCGTCGCTTGCCTCTGTGCAACCGTTGCTTTCAACAACGGACGGCCCGTGATGTCGATAACGTGAGTCGTCAGCAGAGGAACCACGGGCACCTTTGTTTGTGTGTGCCGAGGGGTCAGCCGTGCTGGAGTTTAAAGAGCGCCGCCGCCTTGGTACACCGGGCATGGTAATCTTTAGCACAGCACCACTGCCGCCTGTGAAGCCTGGTGGTGCAGACGGCGTATCGTTTGCATAGGTACGAGAGGTACCAACTGGATGCGTGAAATGATGGTCGTTGATGCGGGGCAGGTCAGCTCAGGGCGCCGTATGTGATAGGCCGAGATGGCGTCTTGCGGGGTTATTTTGCGTCTTCAGGGCCGTGGACCTGGTTGAAACGGCCCGGATCTGGGTAGCACTGGTCCAATGAGGTCATGAAAGAAGACCCGTTTCTGAGTTCGAAGATTCAAAGAACAACCTCTTCCTAGCAATCGATATTAATGTTCCTGGACAATCGGCACGAATTGGGGATGCGAGCATGCACTGATGCACCGCTACCTGAAAGTCCCGCGGCCAAACATGAGGTTATTCTCAACGAGAGCTTCAGGCCTGGCCGAACTGTAAAGCAAAAATAAGTCAAGGGGTCAACGAGGATCACTTACACCGGGGAGGCTGCTGACGTCGTAGAGAAAATAGGGAGATTTGCTGCCCAGTTTGCATGTGCTGATGCCACTCTGCAGGTTCAGGTAGGATCGATGTCATAGCACGAGATAGGGTGTCCTGGGCGTGTAGTAGTGTAGCTGATTGTTGAAAGACCTGCAAGGCCTCGAATTTTCCACGTTCCAATTGGGTCTTGAAGTCTTTGATGAGCTGAGTTTTGGGCAACTGGGGTCCGGGGGCTAACGTTCGAACCGTCCCGTCGCCTGGCCGTTCTTTGACAGAAAAGTGTGATGATGGGTGCGATTTTTGCAGTGCCCTCCCCGATATCGCCTTCCGGTAACGCCTTCCTCCTAAGTCTTGGGTTCGTTGTTTCCTTCTCCGGAGCCCTAACCGATACAAGATTTTCGAGCTGAAATCTCGCGATAGTACCGTACGTATTCGGGGTCTCGAACGCGAATTGGGGAGGGTCGAGTGTTGGGACAAGGTACCAAGCGTTGACTTTGGGCACCGAGATAGACTTCACCGCAACCGTCTGGCCACGGTCCGAATGACTGGCCGGACGAGTTGAAAGAACCGGGGAGATAAAAGAACAAGTAGCAAAAGCCACGGTGCCAATACGCAGCCGGGATTCTCACCGCTTCGGAAGTTTAAAACCTCTCGACCGAGTCCGTAGCCGTATTTGCACACACGCTCCGTGTTCACAAAACAACAAACAAAAGAGCGGAAT